AAAAGCGTAGTCAAACCTTTTTATGCGTAAGAGTTAGTCAACATTAATAACGATGTAATCATCAAATATACAACTATAAACACATGTACACCTACATATGCTGGCATACTAGCAATAGTTATTACCTAACTGTATGGTTCAAATAAGATATTATTTCGTTACAACTTTTGTTTTGAAACACTTATAAAAATTACTTATTTGTGAGGTCGAAATGGGACTGAAATGAAATAAAAATTTAGTTATGTACTTGGAAAAACGAAAAACCTTTTTTTTTTTTACTTTTTGTTTGGTTCGTATGCTTCTGCTATGATTTTATATTTATTTATTATACGGCGAATATGCATATTAAATGTAAGAAAAAGTGGTGGTTTTCTGCGTGCCATAGACTTACTTCATACTAAAACTGATAAACTAGCTTTTCGAGAAGAAATGACTATTAAAAATTATGGGCGTGGCTAATATCTATAAAACAAAACTCGTCTTTAACAGATTTTTACTTTTCTTGCCCCCGTCGAATTCTGGTAAAGCGCTAAAAATCATATATGTAAGTAACGGAATTTTCTTATTAAGGAAATATACGATCAAAAAGTAGCCAATGCACCTTTTAAAAATCCAAAGATACTGGGCCGTATGCATAAAACCTAAGCAAATACTTTCTTTTTTTAATTTCAGACCTTTACTCAATTTGTTCAAATAAATTTCAGTGAAAGGTATGCAATTTTAAGAAAAAGCATGTGCTTAGCTTTTATGCATATGGTCCATTGTGTCGAGGGCCTTTGCTCAGAATCTTGTTACGTACAATTTTGAATAGCCGTATATACAATGTTTAAATGTGTTTGTAGTTAAAACACTTTGATTTCTCAGAACTTGTTTTAATTTTTTCCTGCTACTCACACCTATGCTTTTTTGTTATAAGTGTTTACGTTCTTTGCCTTTTCATTACAAAAACGTAGAAAAAGTTTTGTATGGTAATTTTAAAGTCTCGGATCTTAGCAAATTTCGAACATCTAGTTCTTTGTTTACCCACTGTTTAAAAGTACTTTTTCCACAAAGTATAAAAAGCTGGTATTCTTGGTGGTATTTGTTAGTAGCCACCAACTCTAATAAATGCATTTCGCAACCTAAGTTAAGCTCAATAAATAAACACAAATATATCCAAAAACTATTGGTGGCGCTATATATGTATTTATCTCCGATTTTTTGGCTACCAAAAGTACCCGACTAATACACAGATAAGCACTGTAATTCCATTAGCATTCGTCAAAATTACTTACCACTTGAACAGCGCCATCTTTTGATCCTCGGTATTGAAAGTTTTCCTTTGGTTTATTTAATATTCATTAATTTTTTATTAAAATATGTGTATCATATTCTTTAACGAAAAGTATGTAAATTAATTTCATTTAATTCAATTTCTAAACTGTACACAAAATCTGTAATAAATACGTATAACAAAATTTTCATCAGAATTTCAAACTTAAAAAAAAAAATAATTGTTTGATATAGATAGATATTCAGTTGAGGGATGAACTGCGACCAGGAGATCTATTGTGCCCTCTTGCTCCTTACAGCACCTCGGTCAGTCCTAGCTCCCTTAGGAAATCCAGTAGATTGTTTGATATAAGGTGGAAGCAAGGTGTATTAAACAAGGTGGTGTTGGGGCGACAGCTGAGTTTTTCGCCGTGGAGGTCATTATGTCAAAATGATGTGTTTGTTGTAACTCATACCAATGACAGTATGGACATCAGCGTATAATTTGTTAGTGTAATTTTTTACTTATATACGGCCAACACCACCTTGTTAAATACGCCTTGGGTGGAAGTTTTTAAAAAATCGTGCTTTAAAAAGCTTGGAACACTTGATGAAAATCTGTCGAATTATACAATTTGTATAAAGTTTGAAAATAAGATTCACATGGTTTTTGTTATAGAAAATACTATATATTTTTAAAACATTAATGGATATTAAACAAACAAAGGAAAACTGTCATTACTCAAAGGAGGTTCAAGTGACCAGCACTGTATATACTTACACAATCAGGCCAATTCTGAATTCTTCCAGGGAGTTTGTTCTCCGGGCATTTTCACAGAAAATTTGTGAGGAGAAAATTGCAACTTCGCAAGAGCTATTTGACAGTTCAACTCCGCCATTTAATATAAAAAATTCTTTGGGAATTTTTATCCATGATAGCAGGAAAGGGAAAAGAGAAAACTCCCGCGGAGTTTCTGTTCAGAACCGGCCTGAATATATACACATTATGTGCGATATTAAATCACAAAAGCAAAAGATGAGTAAGTAGTTTTTAACCTTAAGTTCTACATACATCCATAAAATGTTTCTAAAATAAACCATTTTTACTCACATAATTTTTACTCACATAATTTAAAAAAATTCTAAAATAAATCTGACACACTACATAAGTATGCATGTACGAGTATGTACAAAATACATACATACATAGTATACATAGCCTTGGGCACGTTTCGCTACCGATTCACAAAACACTTGCAGTAAAATATAACTCCCTTCGAAATTTCGTTTTATGAAACTCGATAGCGTATGAAAATTTAGTATTCCGAACCTACGTATCACTACTAATCATGCAAAGATTATTGCCGTTTAAAGGATTTGCCTTTTGGCTTCCTATTAATGAAAAAAAAAAATACATATATTCATGCAACCCAGACATCAAAATAGAGTATCGTCATCCTGCAACACTTTACTCAATTCCAAATCACATACATTTTCGAAAAATTTTACTTTCTTGATTTCCCGAGTTTTGTATGAGATTAAAAAATTATTTCTTGTGGTTTTGCTGTTGAACGATATTTTTATAAAAAAAAAATAAGAAAAATTTGACGTCAACAATTTAAGTAAATAAAATCGTCAAATTGTCAGGTTATGTATATTTTTGACGCTGACAGCGCTTAAATGCTTTCAGTTTGTATGTATTGTATTAATTTTAACTTAAAAAAAAGAAACACCACAGTAGTAGCTACATACATATGTATTACACAAACTTGTGCCTCTGAAAATGCTTTATATTTTCAACCATGAACAAAGTTGCTATGAGATCTCATAACCTCTTTAAAATAAAAAATAAAAAAATTTTATACCCGCTTTATATATCGTTAGTATGTATGTATCGAAATTAGTGTACCGAGTTTCATTACAAAACGTAGGAAAAGAAATCCAAATCAGCGTTCCTTCACACATAAATACATACTTATTTACATACATATATATCGTAATCATCTATGCAAAAGGCGCTACTTATTTGACAAATGTTCCGAAAAGTGTTTTTAATATTCCTTTAGTTGGCTCTCAGACACACTACAAATATTTAAAATCATGTCTTAAAAATACGAGATTAATTGCCATCTTCAAAACAGCCATGTAAGAATTTCCTTTGTAAATTAAAGAAAAAAATGTGCGCTTCTGTAATATTTTAAATTTATCAAAAAGGGTCTCGTTTTGCATTCATGATCACGAGACAATGTTTTTAAAGTACATATTAACACAATGTTTGGCCAAACTAAATACACAGAGAAAAATAGTATCAAAAAAAACACTTAAAATATTCGTTAATATTTAGATATTAAAAGTAATTAAGTAAGATGGAGAAAAACCTCGAAACACCGAAGCTTTTAATAAGCTATCAAAATTTAAATGAAAAATATTTTGAATGGCAAAGAAGAGAAACGTTTACTGGTCTTAATTTAGCCCTTTAACCAAAAAGAACTTGGAAACATTTTTTTTTTTTGTTCTTTCACTAAGATTTGTTGCTTACAATGCTAAATGTCAGACTAAAGGACTACATATACCATTTACGACATTATAGTTCCGAAAATGAAAAAAAGTCTACAACTTTAAGCTGGCTCCTAACTGGAACTATCTAGTACATTAGACGGTACTAGAAAAACAAGTTCGCCGTATACCTTCGAATCTGAAGTATTTTTGCAAGGTAATTTCGAAAAAAAAAATTGTTTGCCGAACCTAAGGGCAATTTTCGGCAATAAAAATTTATTTGTCAAATAGTTCTTAGCAAAAGTTTTGGTGAGCCTTGATTTACTATCATTAGGGTGGTACGTTAGGATGATAAGAGCTGAGTTTTGCTTGCTGAGTACTGAAACAAATAATTTGTCACCTCCAGGCAAGAATATCAATATATCATACTTTAAAATCCGAGTTTTAATGCCGAAGCTATGATGTAAAATGTAAAAGGCGACCCCTACGTTGTTCAGACTCGAAGATGTACGGCGAACTTTTCTTTGATAAACTTTTTTATACTTAAATATATAATTATCCCCAAAGGTACTTTTTTTAGATGGCTATTCGAAAAAAGGTAACTACACTACAAATAAACCTTTCATGGTCATATATACATACATATATAAGCAAATAAAAACGTTTCAAGTAAATTAAGAAATGCGTATGAAAAAAAGTTCAAAGTTTAGCCCAAAAAAAAATTGGTAATATTTGTTTTTTAGAAAAAAGTAGAAAAAATACCTTATAAGTATGTATGTATGCTTACATTCAGTTAATTTAATAAAAAAACTCGTTAAAGAAAACCCATACCGAAGCATTTTTTATTTTTGGGAATTGATTTGGATATGTACTTAGGTATGCCTATAGCAGGATACTGCGAGGGCGGCGATGGGAATGATATACACGTGAAGTATGTACACTCGCATTCACTTAAGTAGGCACATTTTTTCGTTAAGATCTCTGCTCATAGCTGATTAGCTCAAAGCAGCGAGAGTGGTCAGGTCACTTACCTAAATCTAAAAAAAAAAAAACGGAAAAAACGACTCTCAAATAAATTGTACACTGCACAACCCTTGAAATTGTTCTATAATAAACGGTACACAGAGCAAAAACCACCTAATGAAATAGAACAAAAGTAAGATATCTTCTATATATGGTTTTCATGCTATGCTTTTCAAGAAGAAATTTCTAGTGAGATTATCTTGTCAGTGAAATCAAGAAAGAATTGTCTCGATTTTTATTTGGTTACTTAATTAAAAGCTAAAAATAGAAAATTAGAAAAAAACAGGTCTGCGTTAACCGCCTAGCCTAGACACTTTTCATAAGAAATATTAAGGATTTTTGGTAGGACTACTACTTATTTTTATAAGTTCCAGCCCGAATTTCATTATGAATATTTGAAATAAGGAAAAGCTAAAAAAGCCACAATGCTAGACCTAAAGTCGCTTATTTTCCAGGGCCCGGCCTATGTCACTCATGATGTTTGATGCAGACGATTTAGCGATGAGCTGTATGAGCTTTACAACGAAATAGACGTACATAGGCCCTTCCCAGCCAGCAGAGAAACGTAAATTTTGCCGACAGAGCAGTCTAGTACAATTTTCCGTATCCGGAATCGAATAGAAAACAACTACAATTTTCATTCATTTAGGTATCAAAGAATGTCTACAAAACCACGGTAGTTTTCGTATCCGGAAACGAATAGAAAACGACTACAGTTATCATTCATTTTCGAATCCGGAAACTGTTCGAAACGTGCGAAAAAGATGATGTCATTTGAAAGCAATTATTGTATTTTATTTGTTCAAGCTATACATTTGAAAGCATGCATGCGTAGTCGGCAGTGGCTGAGCGTGCAGAGACGCGTGCAGCTATTTGTTAGCTTCCAGAATGTGCCGAGTTCGAATTCCGTTAGGCGCTTCCTTTATTTTGTTAAATTTGTTTTTAAACCATGAAAAAGTATCTGTGAAATGCATAAGGAAAGCGTATTGAACGAAAAATTCAATCAGTCAAATTTCAGTAAAAACAGCTAAAGAAGTATCCGTTTCACAAGCAATTTTCGGTACTTGTCTGTACATACATACGTTTCTGCCGCACACTTTAGCGGGAAAACGGATCGTCAAAGTATCCGAAAACGGAATTTGTAAACGGACAAAAATCCGCACTTCATCCACTTTTTTTTTCCTTTTTCGGATCGATTTTCGGATTGTTTGCTGGCTGGGTTATTATGAGTTGCATTCGATTTTCGATCTTCGCTGGTTATCGAATATCGATTGTGAAATTCGTATTATGAGCTATGCAACCGTGTCGAACTTTTCGTTGAGTATCGAATTATCTGTCGAACAGAATTTTGCTTTCGATGCTGTAGCGAAGTGTTAGAAAATTGTGAAAAATGTATGATTTTGCGTTTGTTTTCTTACTTTTTTGGCGGCTAGACACTAATTTAAACAATTTTTATTAATTTCACGCAGGTCGAATTTCGTGAATACTAAACACAAGTTCGAGAGGCTGGTTTGGCTCAGTTGGCATGATCTCTGAGAACAAAATCGTAGAGTTGTTGATAGTTTTAAATTATTTTAAATAGATTTGGCCCGAGAGCATTGCTGCAGCAGGTTTTGTGTAGCGGACAGCAGGTCTACTACAAACGCTCGATTCGGCTTCCTCTGCGATGGAAAGACCAGGAGTGAAGACCTTCGTCTCACTTGCTGCTATGTTAGACTCGGGCGAATTCGCGTTGGCGCAGCTACTGCGTCAAACGACGAAAGATCGCATCATCAGCGTACTCCGAATTGGAGAAGCACGGTATAATATTTAAAAAGTCTGAATTTTTTGTGTTATGTTTAGCGTCAAACTTTTTTTTTTTTTAATTAAAACAAGTTATATTTTGTTTCTTGTTTTGGTTTTTTCTGTTTTATTTAAATTTATTTTATTAAAAACTAATCAATAATAGGTATGCACTATCTGTATATATACTTTTTTATACATTTTCGCTTCGAAGGAAAATTATAGAAAAATAAAGATGACTTTACAATAGATTATTTTTAATAATTTTTGTTTATATATATATTTTTTAAATATATATTTTATACATATATGTATATATATTTTTTTAGATCTGTTTAGTTTGATGTTCATGCTGCACAAAATATGTAGAATATTTTCTTTTCTTGTCAAAAAAATATTTGCAAATTTCATGTCAAAACACAAGGAGACTAGGTTTTGGCGCTTCCATTTACTAAAGTGCAATTTTTGCTTTTGTGTGTATGTAAAAATAAGTGTAATATGAAATCTTAAAGCTGAACATACAAGTGATGTTTTGAAATGAAAATGAAAAATTTGAAAAAAAAAGTATTAGGTTGCATTTCCGCGATCACAAAGTAATGTTAATTAATTAATACTAATTTAGCGTGTTCATATCGTATTGTTATACATATGTATGTACGTACATATATGTATATATTTTAGGATTACTATATGAATGTGTGTATGTACTATGTGAGTTATTTGGTTTCATTTATCTGCTATTGTTTTATGTTATTTCAATTGCATTTAGTAATATTTATGTATGTAGTTGTATTTTTATAGGCTACATTATATGCACAAACATACATACATACATGTACATATGTATGTACGTAGCTATGTAAGTATGCCGTAATGCTTTGCATTTGCATTTTGAAATTTGATCATTAGGGGTATTCTCGCAGTATTGCAAAGCCCTTGCACAGATTGCATGGATTGCGATGTAAAAACCGTTTTTCCTATGGGAAAGCTTTGCAAACCGTACAATCCGTGCACCGTGCAAGGGCTTTGCACGACTCCGAGAATACCCGATTTATTTTTTTGGTTGTTCCTTATATCTTTTCATTTTGCCACCGAAACATATTCACGCAAACATGCAATTACAGTGGTGGAAAATAAATAGGCACACGACGTTCAAACAAATTTTTCCCATTTTTCGTATGTTTGTTTAATATTTATTATTTTTTTTTTTTAATTATAGCTCATTATCTAACAAAAACCATATAAATTCACCTCAAACCTTGTGCAAAAATTATAAAAATTCTGCAAAATTGCATCTAAATTTTCTACTTTTTATTAGATAATTTTTATTCTGAATGTATTACGCACTTTTTTCCGTTAAATGCGTTAAAAAAATTGCCAAAAATCTACGCGATTTTTTAGCAACTTAAAACTTACACTTTTAAATGGACTATAAAACTGCAAGCTCAAAAAAATTCTAAAATATCTGATTAAAAAGTTGAACATGTAGATGCAATTTTGCAGAATTTTTATAATTTTTGCACAAAGTTTGAAATATGAATTTATATGGTTTTTGTTTGATAATATAATTTAATTTAATAATTTTATAAAAATTTAATAAATATTATATAAACGCAAGAAAAATAGCCAAAATTAAAAAAAAATAATTGTGTCCCTATTTATTTTTCCACCACTGTATATGTACATATGTAGATATTGCAGCATTTTAGTTTTTTTTATTAATATTTAGTAATTAGTAATTTACTAAAATTCGTTTTTTTTTATTAGATTTCGTTTCTCACACACCTCTTAAATGTTAGTTATTTTTTTTTTTTTGTATTCATTATTATGTATTTGTAGTTTTACTTTATTTTACATTGCATTATAAAATATTTTAGTTAAATTCCCATTTGTTGCACAATTGCTTTAATTTTGAATTTGCTTCATGCCTACTTAAACCATATTTACTGTATGTACACATTCAAGTATGCGTGTGTGTGTTTTACTTATTTCAGTTAGTGTATTTTTTAGTACGTAATAGAATTTCAATTATGCAAATCCATACCACGCCTGCAACTGCAACTACACACAAACATACGCTCACAATTCAAACCTTTCAAATTTATTTTTTCCTAAGCATTTCTGTACAGTTTTACGTATTTATTTTTTTAGTGTTACTAAATTTTAAATATAACCTAAAATTTTTGTATGTTTTTATGTTAGTTAGTATACATTTATACGTGCATACATACATACATATGTGTATTTATGTAGGTATGCATTAACTTAATCTATGTACACTATGCCGTTTTATAATAGCTTACTTTTCTTCCTCTTTAAGCATTTTATTAAACTAAGTATTTAACTAAGTTTAAAGATGTATTTTTATTTTAATTTATATCATATTTGTTAAACATGCATACTTATGTATGTATGTATTTATATGTATGGCTGTATGTATTTGATTGCAAATTTAGTTTTATTACTTATTTTACTGCACCAGCACTGTTATGATTTAATTATTATTTTTTTTTCTTAAACACTCCATTTAATCCTTAGAATTATCTTTTTCAGATCTTAGCTGGTGTATTATTCTTTATTAATTTTATAATTTGTATCCTATATTTTGCTTTTAATTTGTTAATCTAATCTAAACATAATGCACCGTTCACACTCTCATTCAAACACTCATACATATAAATGTACATAAAGCTCAATTTAACTATTGGCATTAGCAATCAGTCACTGCATACTCTCAGAAGCTAAACTTGAAATTCAACAAACAAATAATATAACCAGTAATGCAAAACATAAATAAATGATAATTGTATATGAAAGTATATTTTACCCATATTCGGATGTTTTTGAGCAGAATGTGTTGTTGTGCCGACTTAGTTTACATATACATACATATGTAGCATACAACCGAGAGTCAGTTCCTTTCAGGCAAATGGTCACCGTGTCAGTTGATATAAGAAAGAGGTGCCCATACTAGACCCGCTCCTCGTTATGCCGGGGATGGTAATTCCTTTTTGTTTACATTCAGCAATCGTTAAAAAGCCGACCGAATAGCAAAAGTACGACGCCAGCGAGTTTAAAAAAGGACTTCTTAACAATTTTGCACAAAACTTGAAATTTGCTCTCGGGTTATCACAGTTCTGCCCCCAAAATTATCTAAATACATGGTGGCAATCGGTAACCTGCAATAACAAACTCATTTTAAAGTTGCCGGTCGTTTTCATACATTAGAACCGGAGCCAAGACCGGTATGGTATGCTCTCTTTGTGGCCCGTAGTTGATGTGTCAAGTAACAGTAGTTTTGCCTGCAGAGTTTGCTGAAAAAATTTCAGCTGTTCACACTTTTGCAATTAAAAATCAAAGTAAAGTGGTAATAAACCATACTTAGTTCAGACTAACTTTTACCAACCCAGAGAGGGTTTGCTCACTCGCTGAAAATACAAATCATTCATGATGGGTTGGTTTTCACACCGAGTTAATATATAAACAAGTAATTTTTAGCAAAAAAAAAACCGACTTCAATTCTCATATTAAAAAAAAAATATATATATATATATCATGATCCACTGATCGGATCTTAACTAGATTAGTATGGGACCACCTCTGACACTACCGTTCCGATGCAAACAGAATTATCGAAATCGGTTGACGTGGTTCAAAGTTATGCGGTAACATACATAAGAAAAACAAAAAAATATTCCGACGAACTGATAACCTCCTCCTCCTCCTTTTTTTGGAAGTCGGATAAAAAAGCTTGACAGTCCTATTCTCAGCCAAAATTCATCGCATCATTGTTGTTATAATTAACGCACCCAAAAATATGCTGCGAAAATCTTTATTATCTTTAAAAAATATTTGAAAGCTCATTTTTAAATTGTTTCACTGCAAATACGTATGATATTTTATTCTTAGATACATGTAAGTATTTGCAAAATATAAATGAAACCCGCAGAGCATACAAATAAACGCGAAATTGTATTTGAGAGGAGGGCTCCTCACCCACAGAATCCCTAAATGCGATTTCGCATCAATCTCCACTGGTTCTAATTTTTCGAAAGGTTACTGTTATTGCAGTCATAGGACTAACAGCCATATTAGCTATCTCGCACGATAGGCCATACAAACGATTCGTCTGCAAACGATATCGTCTCTGCTTTCAATATAATAACTCTATCGTTCGTCTTCATCTTGCTTTACGCCCGACTACGTTGCAATCGTCTCCGTTACATTTGAACCGGCTAGAACTATGTTGCCGGACTAATTTTTTTAAGTATTCGTCTGCAGACGATTCATTCGTGCGGCCTATCATTCGATAGATAGATTCTCAGATCATTCGGCTATTCTAGACATCTTAGTGACTATGCCGATATATATCAGTACCGACTATTGTATGCCCTCACTCACATCCGTTGAGAAATACAAAGTTGTGGTACCATCAAGACAGCTTTCTCATACTAGAAGACCTCTCATGCATACAGGTGTGGTAACAAATTTGAAGCAAGAGTCGGACTAGGCGTTTTTCTTAGCTGAGCTGAGGCTAGGCGTCTTTAAAATTTCCCAACCACTGCAGTGCATATCAAGCTGAAGAACCTAATGGCCCTATTATGTTTGGCGACCGATAGCCGATGGGCAACCATATACTAAAATTCGCATTACGTACCGCAACTGCCGGCTACTGAGTCTAGAAGCGCAATTTTCTGCTTCCCGCTTATGACGATTTTGTTATTTGTTTACACAAATTGTTAAACACACTGGGGCAAAGTTGCCAATTATTTCGAAATATACATGTCAAAAAAGTAAATTCGGATGTTGTCTGCGATTTTTTGTCTACTGAGATAAATCGCTACACATAATACAAAGTACGATACTGGTAGCCAAGGTGTCACTTTCTTGACTCATTTACTATCTTTCTGACTTGACCACTACATACTTATTCTATAATAAATCGAGATTGTGGGTTGTATATTTTTAAATATCTGCTACGAGGGCTGATTTATATATTTTATTAAAAACTTCTTCAATACCCAGGGAATGGTATGAGTGAAGAATCATCTACTTATGTATGTACATATTTGTGTATTTTCTATATATTAATTTTAAGAAAAACAAAATTTAAAAAATTTTACGGGTCTGCGCTAATACAACGAACCAGATTTACATATTTCTGATCAAAGATTGTCACTGTCGGTCAGTCCAGGTTCATAGTGGAAGAGATAAATTTGTCTTGTAATGTCGTCAAGATTTTATTATCATAAAAATAAAAGTAATACAATACTTAAAAGAAAAAAACGGCAACAAAAAAAGCTCAAACTAAAAAACCACTTTTTAAGCTCTCATCCCTGCAAACCAAAGATCGGGAAATCTTAACTAAATCTTTAGGAATATCACATTTCTTTAACGATCTTTTAACGAACCTTCAAAGAAAATTATATGCAGTAGTTGACACGAACTAGTAAAGAAATTTCTGTACGAAAATAAAGAAAATTCTGAAAAAATTCAGCAAGAAATACTTCACATAGCAGCATTATTTGCATTGTTTAAGCGATTTTCTCCCGAAATTTCGTAAAGGAAACGAAGTGTGCACAGTTTATTTTATTTTAGAAAATTCAGCAAAAAATACTCTGAAAAAATGGTTTGCAGGAATCATACTGTAGATGCCTATATGTATACATATTTATAAAATTTATACAAAGCAGACTCAAACTTTCGCACTATTTCCACACAATCGCAATTTGCAGCATTTGATTATTAATAAAAAATATATATATTAATTATATAGTAGGCACTTTAGCAATTGTTTGTATATTTTTTTCTGTAATAAGTAGTATTTTTATGTGTGAATAAATATCTAAAATAACTATACAAAAAATTATATTTATAAGTGGAAAATATGTTTTTACTTATACAGAAGCTAGATAATTACGATTTCGGTTAGAGCCTGATTGTTTACTACAAGTGTATGTATATCGATTTCAAATATACATACATGCAGTGTCGGAAAAAGTAATAATAAAAATTTATCGAATATTCTTGATTAAAAAAAAATAACGATTTTGGAATGATCTTGGTAGTTAATGGTTATTTTTGGGCCTTTTTTTATTTGGGGAAAGAAAGAAAATGGCCAAAAATCAACGCGATTTTTCAGCAACTTAAAACTTGCACTTTATTACAATGGGCTACAAAACTGCATTTTCAAAGTTTTTCTAAAAAACTGGAGTATAAAGTTTCAAATTCATCGAGTTTTCCTGAGTTTTGCACAAAGTTTAGAAATTTTATTTTTGTTTTTTATTGTAGCATAAACAAGTTTCAAATGGCTAAAAATTACGATTGATTTTTTATATTTTTTTTGTCGAAAATGTTACGGTTTTCTGCCATATAAAACTAAATTGTGTGTATTCGTTAAATGGAAGCAAATGGGACAAAGAAAACTCTAAAACATCAACCGTAATTTTTAGCCATTTAAAACTTGTACTTTATTCTGCTAGAATTCAATGGGCTACAAAACTGGATGCTCGGAATCTTTCGAGGAAATCGAATTAAAAAAGCTAGAAATTTTTACGAAAGTTTGTTGATTTTTTTTTCTTTAATATTGCACAAAGTTTGAAACTTGGATTTACACAGGTTTTGTTAAAGAATGAACAATATCTATATAACAAAATAAGCAAAATTAAATAACTGGAAAAATAATATGTTAAAACTTGCCAAATGTGTTGCGGATGTAATTATTTCGACCACTGTATGTATGTATGGATATTCTCCAATTTATGGATTTTGGTTTTTGGGAAGCATGCGTTATCCAAAGTATACAATACATATGTATGCATGTACAGAAGTAACCCCAAGATATGTGGCCCATTCATAAAAAATAAGTAAATTTTAAAAAGCAAGTATAATTAGTAGATGTCTTGTTAGTCGACTAATCGGTTAGTCAAACACCAAAAGTTATTTAAAAATATATTCGACTTCATTTAATCGACTAACCGTTTCATTTCTACTTTTTTTTACTAACCGCTCACAAATAACCAGTTGACAAACGGTTCATTTTCGATTTTTCGACTAATTGTTTTCTTTCAGTAAACATTTTTAGTGTAAAGTTGCTAGGTAGCAATCTAGTAGGCATTTTGTTGTTGGAAAAGCAACCAACCCCCCGTATTGTTTTTTATTTTTTATATTTTCTAATACTTACATATGCTTATTGACAAAACCCAACCGCGTAATATGAATAATTTTATGACAGTCACGATTAGAATAATTTCAGTTAGTCGATTTTCAGACTACTCGATAGTGAACGGCTAGTCGTTTTCAGGCGTTTCATCGAATAATTGCTATTCGACTATCAGCCGACAAAAAAGTTGCTAAACAACTAAATAGTCGACTAACCGAATAGCCGAATAGTCGATTTTTAAAAAGAGCTCTAATCAAACCGCTTATCGATTTAAGTATAAAGCATTTTAAATCTACATATTTATTTTACATTTTATGAATTCGGCTGTCAGTTTTTATTTGAAAACTATGCCTTATACATAGCTTAGTACTTATTATCTACATCTAGATATATAATAATAATAGCTTTGCGATTACACTTACATATGTTAGTGTTTAGTTAGACAAGCTTCTCCTCCGATTTGAGGCGTGCGCTTTGGATGTTGTCACACGAAGGGGAGGGACCTACAGTTTAACGCCGACTCCGAAGGGCGATTGTATTTTTATGAGAAGCTGTTTTCATAGCAGAAATACTACACTCGGAGGTTTGCCATTGCCTACCCAGGGGTGACCGCTATTAGAATATACGAGTAATTTTTCTCCATTAATTAGCCGCTGTAGAATGGTATGCTTTTACTATTTTGTTGTTCCATAGTATTTTTTTCCAAATGGCGATAGGGACGACGAGTCGAGAGTCGGTACATACATAATATCTACATACTTAAATTGAAAAATTTTATTAATAGATATGCACTTATCTAATCTTATGATATTTGAGTCCAAAGCACGTTATTTTCTTGATTAGACACACGAGTTTTTTGAAATCGCTCAAAATGATTCTTCTTTCCTTGATACAAGTGCTTGGTTTGATTAAAAAAAACCACTGGAGTGTTGCACTACAATGACAGCATACATTTAGGCGCACTGCGAGAATTTCTATGGAAATATATTCAGAAACAGTTTTCAGTACAAATTTATTTAACGATATGTCAGGTAATCTGGCCGGCGTTGCCAGTTGAAAGTAAAATTTCGACAACAACCCCCAGCATTCTGTTAGAGAAAAAGTAGATATTACTTTTCGCGAATTTTTTTGCATAGACAAACATTTATCCTATTGAATTTTCTTCGAAAAAAAAATCTTTTGCAAAGAAATTCCGGGTAGCATTTCCCTCATAATAGTTACCAAATCGAACTAATAAATATCTACATATAAAATTTTAAGACTTTAAATAACAAGAAATGAGTTGCCTTTAAACGAGTAATATTATTCATAGTTTGCGAAAATTCATTACTGGCAGCCAAAAGTAACTAAATAGGGCATTTACGAAGAAAAGAGCATCAGAGTATCAAATCTTAAAATTTAGAAAAAAAATTATCAAAAATTATAAAATTTTATCACAAAATGGCAACGCTGGTCATATGCATAGAGTTGGTATCATTAACGATGTTTAACTCGTGATTAGTGTTAACCAGAGATGGCGAAAACGGCCCTTAGAATTGCGGATCTAAGTTATCAGCCGTGACCTAATATTGAAGATGCTAGTGAGCTACTCGTTATTTTAAAAACCTATAAAATAAACTCAGATTCTTTTAACAACTACTGAATAAGAATCTCCCTTTTCTCCGCTCACAGCCGATCTTCGAAGAATGTTACAACCAGAGCTGGGTAAATGCAATTACATTACAATTACAATTACATTCCTCAGTAATTGTAATTAGGATTCAATTCCTTTAGCTCACAGCAAAGGAATCGATTACTTTTTCAATTCCTTGAAGTAATTTCAAATGGAATTGTTTTTTTCTTTAATTCCATTACAAGGAATTTCATATTGTAATTGGAATAAATTACGTGCTAGTAATGTAATTTCTTTTATTTCAATTCCTTTGAAAGGAATTGAAAATGTAATTTTTTTTCCAATTCCTTTCAAAGGAATTGAAAATGTAATTGATTTTTTTTCCAATTCCATTCCTCAAAGTAATTTAAAAAGTAATCGAAAAATTTATAAAAAAAAATTGTTTACTGTTGAATTGCAATAGCTTTGTTAAATTTCTTGGTTGCTAACTGCCTTGAATAAACAACTTATACCTAAGTAGTATTACTAATTGGACTTTAAGAAAACTGAATAGCTTAGACTGTAGCTGTTCAGTTTATAGGGTAACGGTTAAATTTTCCAGATCCTACCGCGAACGCGCTTCGCGGCAGATGAGACCCATAAATGTTGCTGCCTTGGGCACTGCTGTTCTCTTGGACTAATCCCTGCGTATTTATAAAAATGCACCGAGTTAATTGCGTATATTATGGTACCCTTAATTCTACCCAAAATGGCGTGCCTTCTGGGGCCTTTGAAGTACTCTTACTGGTATCCTGCGTTACAAATGAGGATAGAGTCCGCTTGAATTACGAGCCCTGTGGGACTGGAGATCCTACCTCCTAAGAGTTTTATAAACAAATTTCATTGCTATGGCTAAATTTTGATGATAACACTGTAACGACGCTAAAATTACACAAAAAACGCCGAGAGACGTAAAATTAATTTTAAGTAGTATGTTACGGAACTGTATACCGTTTTTTTTTAGATAAGGTCATTTAGTCAAGTTATTTTCATTTTAAGTTTTCATTGCGAATGAAAAAAATCAAACTTTAACATGGTCATACGGTCATGTACGATATGGCGTATGGGTAACATTATTTCCTGCTAGTATTTTATACAAAAAATTATTACACTTTCACTTAACCCTTGCAAATCACAATGGGCTATGATCGGGCCTAAGTGTGCTGGCGCCCTCTGGGCCTAGCAGCCACTTCAACCTAACCCTTGCAAACTTGCTTATTTATCCATCGATTTTCATCGGTAGTAGTGTTTTAAGCCGCAAAACAAGCAGATATTGGCTAGTCTATACTAATATATATTTTGAAAAGCATTTTTTTCTGTTCGCAAAGCTCGAGAAAGGCCGTACCGATTTTTTTGAAATTTCGGAATATACTGCAGACTTTCCACGGATGGTTATAGGCTAAAAAAAGTTTCGATATTGAAAGGGGGCGTGGCACCTCCCATACAAACCGAATTTTTCAAACTGCATATATTTGTGGTAGAGGACTAGAACTGGGTATGGTGATATATACATATATAAGACCAATTCCATACTCATGGAGAAAAATTTGCATGGTTGAAGAATGGGGCGTGGCACCTCCCATATAAACCGAACTTTTCATATTGCATATTTCTGGAAGTGTTCATGGTAGACTGTAAGCCTTTTCAAAACTCTTTAGTTTGACACCCACATGCCAACATTTCATTTACTTTATCAATTTAACTGAGTTACAATTTCCAAATAGGTGGCAGCCCCCCTCAAAAATATTTCCAACAGTTATCTTTCTTAAACCTCTTTAATTTGATACCCATATTGTAATATTTTATTTATTTTATCAATGTAATTTAGTTAAATTTTCAAACAGATGGCAACCCTCCTCAAACATATTTTCGGCAGTAAGCCTTCTTAAAACTCTTTAGTTTGACACCCACATGGCAATATTTCATTTTTTTTAACAATTTGACTTAGTTTAAATTTTCAAATAGGTGGCAACCCTCGTCAAAAATGCTTCCAGCGGTTATCTTTCTTAAACCTCTTTAACTTGATACCCATATTGTAATAATTCATTAATTTTATCAATATAATTGGGTTTAAAAATTTTAAAATAGGTGGCAACCCTCCAAATTTTTGTGATATCATTGATTCTGGTATTATACCGAATAATAAAAAAAAAATTATTCAAATCGGTTCAGCCGTTCTCGGGTTTTGATGACCGTGACATACGAACACAACATTTTTATATATATAGATATACATAGAAGATGTCCAATGTGTGCTTTCGATTTTAATCTTTGACCACAACGAAAATTCCACATTGTACATTCGTGAATGAACTTTCAGTTTCTCGATTACTTTTACAATTCCTTTGAGTAATTGAAAACACTAAAGTACTCTTGCAATTCCAGGTAATGGAATTGAAAAAAAATCAATTACATTTTCAATTCCTTTCAAAGGAATTGGAGAAAAAAAAATACATTACTAGCACGTAATTTATTCCATTTACAATTAGGGGATTCACAAGACGTGTTAACCGTCGTAAAATCTTAAGGTTAACATCTTTTTTAATTAAAATGGTTTTAGGGGATTTCTAACTAAACCGAAATTCTTTTAAACTGATAAAGAATATATAATTAGCCAACCCCCCAACCATTTTAACCGCTATTTTACATAAACAAGTGTTAAGCTTAAGATTTTACGACGGTTAACACGTCTTGTGAATCCCCTAAATATGAAATTCCTTGTAATGGAATTAAAGAAAAAACCAATTACATTTGAAATTACTTCAAGGAATTGAAAAAGTAATCGATTCCTTTGCTGTGGACTGAAGGAATTGATTCCTAATTACAATTCCTTGTAATCTGTAATTGGGAGTAATTTGATTCCTAAAGGAATCATTACGACCCAGCTCTGGTTACAACAAGCTTGGCAGAAGAATATCAGGCACATAAAGAAGGTTATTATGAAAAGGGAAAATCTAAACGAATTGTGGTTTTCTTAGACCAGTGTGGTGGCCACACTCAAATTATCATTTATTACGTTTGCGTGTAAAGCATCGCAGTATTGATGAAACGCAACAGTTTTGATTTGCTTTACCAAATACCAAAAAAAACATCGGTCGATCGTCAAATATCGGACTTCGCAGTAAGCAACGTTTTATCGCCCAATTACATGCCTTCGGAATATGTAAATAGCTCATCTCTTGGCTCGACTTGACATTTCAAATTGGAATCAGTTTTCAGAGAAGTGAAATGGCTGGCGTGCTTTATTGGACTCAGCCAAAATTGCTTAGACGGTTACAGCACCAAACCAGAAGAAACCACTCACGGTGGGCAGGAAGCGAAGATAGGTTGCATAAAAATGTCGACAAAATCTGAAAGCAGGGTTGTATTTGTTGATATCTTAAGGTTAAGAATCCGCTTAAATTGAAATCCTAGCTGCTCCTGTTTTAAAGATATCCACATTTTATATACTTCTGATAGGATATATTTGCAAAAGAGGAAGGCGTACTTCTCGATAATTAGAGCATATTTATACGAAAAGAAATCTCATACAAATCTGTTCCCCTTTTTTAACTCACTAAAACGGATCAAATCAATGTGAAACATTTTCATTTTTTCCTACCGAAAGAATAATTGATCGAGATTTATTGGGCGCTACCGGTATACAACTTAGATAAAACACCACAATTACCTTTTTCTGTAGCGTGAACTTTCTCATTACAAACACTTTCAATATCGCAATATATGTATGTATGTATACAATATTGTATGCTATATAATACGGTAGTAATTTTTTATTAAAGGTTTGTTGCTATAAGCAAGTAGCGCAGGCAAGTCGCACTGCGCTTGTGCAAGAAATAAAAATGCTCTAACTTAGGCCAACGGTACTCCGCATAATAAGTAAATAAATTCAAAGCTTGTATGAGATTTATTTTGGTATTTATGTACTCTTCTGTCAGGAAATAATGACTATTGTACATCCAGAACACAAATGCGATCATAAAGAAAATCGCATGAAAGTATGCGCTTTGTGTGTAGGGCTGCCAGACGTCCCGGTTTTCCCGGACATGTCCCGGTTTTAGACTATTTGTCCCGGTGTCCCGGTCCAACCTTAAAATGTCCCGGGTTTCATTTAAGTGTCCCGGTTTTCGATTTGATTGCACAAATTTTGCTTAAAAATGACTACGCTGAGAGAAAAAAGGCGTTGTAATATTAAGAAAAATTTTATGAATTTACTGGGGGAAATAACGCATAGTAAACATGAATATGTTTTATTTGATTATCGTTTTGAAATGTTCGTACTTAAAAACAATACTTTCATACCACGCACACGTGGTGTTGAATCAAACTGAACATTTGAATACACATTTACATGTCTGGCTGTAGCTGAGTGCACGAAGATGCTTGCCACAATTTGCTAATTTCCAGAGCGTCAGGGTTCAAATCCCATTACAGACAGCATGGAATTTAAATAAATTTTTTTTTAACTTAATTATGAAAAAGCATCCGTTAAGTGCAAAGCGCTTCATTTTAATATTGGCGTATTTCAATTGAATATTTCTATACTAAATACTAAAATTTGTATACTTAAATTATTACGAGTTGGGTTGGTGCTCTTTCATATGCGATTTTTTTTTTAAATGTAGCACGTTTTGCATAAGCAATAGTTGATGATTAATATAAGTATGTACCTAAATACGTTAAAATGACATGCACAGAGTTTTACAATTATAGCAAAAGCCAGAAGTTTTGAAACAAGCTCACAGCAACGAAACAATTGACTGATATTTTAATGTTACCTTGTGTTTTTTTTTTTTTTTTTTCGTGAAACCTAGATTACTTATAAGTACCGTGCCGTACAAAATTATTGGCTCGGAGACACTTTCATCTGATCACAATTTCTAATCAGATCTTTTAGAAAAATGTTTAAAATGTAGCTTTTGAGCCAATTAGTAAAGTGCAAGTCTGAAGTTACCAGAAAATTTCGTTGATTTTTTGCAATTATTTATTTTTTGCTGACAGTGTCTTCCACATACAAAAAAATGTCGAACATAGTTTGTATGGAAGAAACTCTCAGTAAAAACAATACCAAATATATTGCCTCGTTCAAAGCCATGAGCAAAATCGTGAATACATGGTTTTCCGCAAAACAAGCGGATCTTAGTAATTTTGATAAAAATCTTAACGAACTCCGCACAGCTTTGAAAAGTACTGGAATTTCTCAAACTGTCAAAATCCATTTTATCCTTAAACATTTAAAGCAATCTATTTCATTCTTGAATAACGATGGTTTAGGATTATGGTCCGAGCAGGCCGGGAAGTCAGTTCATAGGGAATTCATTAAATTCTGGGATAGATTCAAAATAAATATGATTGATAAACCAACTTTTGTGAGTCGCCTGAAGAAAACTGTAATGACATTTTCATTCCAGCATATATAAAAACTTAACTAAATAATAAAATATTTAAATACTAAAATGTGTGACTATATTATATGGTAAGCCAACAAAAAAAATAAAAGGAAACAAAAAACAAATATAAAAAAATAAAGCAAGAAAAAAAAATAAAAAAATAAAACCAAAAAAAGAACAAAGAGGTGCAAAGTAAGTTGCCTCTACGTGGTGCGCCTTGGAAACGATTGAAACCGGCTAAAAACTTACATAAACTTATATTTTCACATAATATATATACACACATTTACTCACACATACATTGTTGAATATTTAATGCACAAGGATGTTTTTCTCTTTCGCAAAAGTCGGTCCTATCATAACTATGTAAAATGTGGATATCTTTAAAACAGGAGCAGCTAGGATTTCAATTCAAAGGGATTCTTAACCTAAAAATATCAACAAATACAACCCTGCTTTCAGTTTTTGTCGACATTTTTATGCAACCTATCTTTGCTTCCTGCCCACCGTGCACTATTAACGATTTGTATGTGAAACAAGAGGAAATTCTACGCAATTCCCCTTAAAAATCCAAAAAAAAATAGCTGAAAGTCTTAAATACAGCAGTGTTCACGAAATTAGCAGCGCGATGTATTAATAGATAATTTAATTTCCATTTATTTAAGTTATTTTTTTTTATAAAAGTATAGCTATGTAATTCCAAAACCAAAATTATAGAAATCAGTTTCAAGCTTTCTGCAAAATTTATAAAAACTCAGCAAATCTCAACAAATTTTGCTAAAAATTTAAACTTTTTCTGGCAGAAATTTTAGAAAACTTTCGGATATGCTGTTTTATGGGCCGATTATGGACTGCAAGGCAACCTCAAGTCAAGTAATCACAAAAATGCAGTTGCTGATATAGCAACTCCGATTTCAATTGCCAACTGGAGTTCAGCACACGACCAGCAAAAAATCCAAAAGTTTAAGAGTATGAGTTATATGGTTTTCGTTGTACTAAAAGCTACATATATTTGGCTAAAAAATAAATTAAATCTAATAAAGCAAAATAAAGGGTCAACGCGGTTTTGCAGCTACTGAAAACTTGCACTTTATTATACTAAACTTGCTACCAAAATGCATGCTCAAAAAATTAAAAAAAAAAAAAATCAGATTAAAAAGTTGAAATTTTAATGAAAATTTGTTAAGTCTTTCTAAGCTCTGTATATAAAGTTGATTTATATGGTTTTGATTAAAGCATGAACCATATTTTTATGGAAAAAATTAACAAACCTTGCAAATATTTAACAAAAATCACCGTGAACTCTACTCCCCTCTGTATGTATAAAAAAGTATTACTTTTATTCCATACCCAAACGGCATGTTTTTTGTAAATTCGAAACGAAAAATAATCAATAAACGTGAGCTGCAGCCAAGGTACATTGAACAGGTAGTATCAGTAGAGCAGCTGATTTGATTTATTTTCAAATTATTTGGTCTCGAAAATATCAAATATTTTTAATTTTTTCTCACAAAAATTCTGAATTGTTAAAATCCATTTGCTTGTGAAACCTTTTTCCATACAAAACAAGCGATTGAATAGCAGCTTTTGGAACGTTCGCCCAACTCGGCAGCACGACCGCTGATTACTGGGCCTTGCAAAGGATGGATCAATGCTTCGAGAAGCAAACAAATTTACTAGGAAAGAAAGTTGCATCAATTTTTATTTTTTCCAATTTCAATTTTTTATTTTTTATAATTTTTTGTATTTCACATGGCACGCTTTGATTTAGAAGAAAAAATTCAGAACAGTTTTTGACACTTTCGATACCAGAAGCAACAACAAAATACACGCAAATGTTGTTTTTGCTCTACTGATACTACCTGTTTAATGTGCCTTGGCTGCAGCTAAGCTCCGGGTTCATATGCTCCATTGCTCTCACAAGTAAAATGCCATACGTAAACTTGTCGCTTTTCCTCGCACAGCAGCAACCAACAATCCACCCAACGATAATAAATAATTGCAAACTAAAATATATAGTTGAGTTGGCAATCAACTTATGCAAACGCTTTATTAACTTAAATAACAACTGCAATAGTGTTAAAAATTATTATAAGCATTTTTCTCTTCTATATTTTAAAAGCAAATTTTTCGTAATTCCTTTTTTTAACGTGAGTGTATGTGTGCGTGTAATTTTAATTGATCCCGCCAATCAAAGAAATAATCAAATCAAAATAACAAACATACATATGCACATACATATGTAGGTACATTGAGGTTGAAAAAACAAAAAAAAAACAAAAACAAATGAATTTAAACTTAAAAAAAATACATCCGTCATATTTAAGGTAAATATTACAAATACGATTTAGAAAAGTGTATTTAGGGTATTCATTTCTTTATACATATATGTATATGTATTTGTAAAATAAGCGCATCAACCAGACAAATTAACCACACATCTCCAACCACATAAAAACTATTAATTTAAATTTGCCTCTACGGGTCGGTCGTCTCATTTACTCTCCCTCTCCAGCAGCACACTCACTCATACGTACAGCCCGATTCAGCGCCTATTTCATTACATTTCAGCTGCTTAGCAGCACACTACTCGCTATATTCCTTTTCAATTCGTTTGTATATCGACTAAATTTGTTCATTATTATTTGCTGTATACTGTGTGTTTGACTTATGTACTTAATTAATTGTAGACTTTGCGTGAAGGTACGTTTAAAAAATAAAATAAACCAAAAAAAGTACAGGGTACGGCAATTTAAGTGATACTAAATAAAAATGCCAAATTTTCGTCATTTATGAACGAACTTTGTTGAATTAAACACAAAGGGTTGACAAATGAATTTTCATCATTAGGGTCGAGAATTTTAATAATTTTTCTTGAGTTTTTTTTTTTTATATGGAGTTTTGAAAGTTCTTGAGATCTGCACACCACGCTTCAAACTCAAAAAGAATTGCAGCTGTTAACGATTATAATTGGACTCTCGAGTATTTCCCAATTTCCAGCGATGAAGATTCCGATGTTATTTGTCGAACTAGACGAATGTTTACAGACAATAACATAAAAACAATTGCATATCGGCTGAGATATAGAAATTGCAGAGAATCAAAATAATTTATCTCAAATGGAGAATAAGGAATATTTAAAAAAAATTAAATTCAGTTTTGAAAAGAAATTAAGGTTTCATATTTTTGTGTAATATAAACCGCATTATTTTTTATTTAATAATAATAGAAAAGTGGCAACTACATCGATACACTATCATTACTGGAAATATCTAATTTTAAATTCAGTCCAGTCACATAAATGGATATGGAAAGGTCGTTTTCCGCCTGTTCAACGCTCTTAAACGACCAGCGCAGATCTATGTTATTTGAGAATATCAATCAGTTTTTACTGGCTAACCAAAATGTAGTACCACAGCGACATGCAATTTCGCTAGCTACATCAGCTACATCAGTAATAATACACCACAACCACAGCTACATATTGTGGACAGTTTAGAGCATTTAGAATAGTTTAACTTTTGACAGCTCTGGCTACATACCACAGACTCACCATTGTGGTGTGCCAGTTAAGATAATTAATTTGACAAACCTTTTTGCTTAACTCAACAAAATTCATTTAAAAATAAAGAAAATATGACATTTTTATTAGGTAGCACTTAAATTCGTTGTACCCTGTAGCTGTGCTAAATTAACATTTTCATACAAACAACAATGCATTGAGGATGTGTTTTTTGTGTAAATATATGTATGGGCGAAGGGTCGCATTCACATTGGCGAATTAACTTTCGTTTCAGTACAAAAATCGAATGTAAACTGGCAAAGGAGCTGGAACTCGTCACTATGAAAACGGTCCTAAGGATGTCTGTGTATATGTGTGAGTGTGCAATTTTTGTCGGTGTTTAGCGCTAGTAATTCAAATAGACAAACATTACTATTTTTGTTTGTTGCCTTTTTATGTACTATGCGAATATGCGTGTATGTTTTATTATGTATGCAAGCACATAATTTTCGTACATACATATGTATGTATTAAATTTGATTTTTAGTTCTGTAGATTTTTATAATCTATGCATGTAGTATGTATTATACATAAGATACACATATATATATATATATATATCAAGTTCTTATGCATACACATAGTTATATTTTATAAGTATAGATATATGTATATGTATGTATGCATGTTTGTATAAGTTTTTGTGTATATACTATGCTTAGGCAAATTAGTCAACTTATCGTATAGTACCACAAATACAATTTAACTTATGCAACTAGAAAATAGTTTATGTATACATATTTATATTTAATACAAATTTAATTTCAGTTTACAGTTGTAAATTAATTACTACACACATACATGTATATATGTATGTATGCATGCATGTATGTATGTATGGATTTAGCTTAGGCTGGGAAAACATCGTCATCATTATCATCAGCAAAACCTCATTTGTGATCTAGCACAAAACACACACACACACACACCACAGAGATGAATTTATGTATGTGCATATACTATGTATGTATGTATGTAAGTATGCAGTTCGTCACACCTACCAACTAACAACTACCTATCTATTTACAATTCCTAATTCTGATTTTTGTATTTATTTAGTTTATAACAAAAATTTCATGGTTAATTGTCATTTCAATTTCGATGCATAAAATCAAACTTGCATAAACTTTGTAGATGTATGTACATACATATTTTTGTATACACATACACTTCGGGGTTTTATTAATCTATGATATACATACATGAATAGTTTATCCTTTGTTACTTCTAAAATGGCACATACATACACACATAGGCGTATGTACATACAATTGTGTGAGAAAATAAAACATAATTGATATGACTATGCATGCCTTGTACGGTGTTAAAAACTAATTAAGGTATATTTCTCAACCTTCCCAACCTCTTTAAAAAAAAACAACAACAACAACAACAATTACTACCTCGCATGAATATACAACGATCGTCACCTGAAATGCAAAACGACGTAACAACATCGTAACTGAAATGGAAAAACTCGTCAAAAATATTTTTTATTTTTTTCATAAAATAATGTGGGAGTTGTATTTCGATGAAATCCATCATATCAATCAAAAACTGAATTTTGAATTTTTTACTAGTTACGTCTTTTTGTATTTCAGCGACGAGATGTTTGTTACGTCTTTTTGCATTTCAGGTGACGATATGTAGTATGTATAGATTTGTTCAAGTGCGCAAAATCGGCAGTAAAAATTTTTCACGCACTGCACCCCCAAATATCCTCTTTCCTATATAGCCTGCAGCGAAAAGCCGAAACGGTAAGTAAACTTTCTAGTAGATCAATTGGCAGAATCCGACTAGTTCATTTAACTGGTATGAGCTGATGAGGTGGCCTATCTGTTCCGACAGTTTCCAACACGTTCCCACAACAGTCGGGTCTACGTAAGCGGAACGCTCCTGATTCATATCTGGCCAAGGGCTGTCACTCCAGCATCATTCGTTCCCACGACAGTCGGGTCTACGTAACCGGAACGACCCAGATTTATATCTGGCCAAGGACTGTCACTCCAGCAACACTCCCCAAAAAGTCTTTGGGGAATTTGTATGCTGCTACAACAACAACAACTCCAGCATCATTCCCCAAAAACTGTTTAGGGAATTTGTATGCTGTTAAAACAAAAATTTCGAAGAAAAAAATCCGTTATGCTGTTAGCGACATCTGCCTTGAAATGTCCATTAAAATGTAAACCGAAAATGCAAGAAAATGAGTTAAAACTTTAAACTTCGTATTCAGATGGCGAAAAAAAATGTTATGAAAACGCGAAACGGTGAAGATCTCAAAAACTTAAATATAAAAATTAATTTATATGTATTTCTAGTAAAAATATTGTATGGAACAAAAATCTTTTACGTCCGTTATCCCAATTTAATTCCAAAATTAAACCCACAACGAATTGCTTCTAAATAAGAATGAATTGGTTGTAATGGTCCTGTGCTTCAAGCGCACCAATTTTTTTTTTATAAGTGACTTCAGTTTTCGTATGATTTATTTAATTCTAAAGTCGTACGAATGTCACGTCCGACATTATTTGGAAACACCCATACACAAATTTAAGAGTACCGTTAATTTCGCCATGATCCAATGATCGGATCTAAAGCAAATTAGTATGGGACCACCTTTAAGAAACTACCTCTCCGATCAAAATCGGTTCACGTTCTCTAAAGTTATGCGGTAAAGTACATACAAAAATATTCCAACGAATTGATAACCTCCTCCTTGTTTTGAAGTACATACATTTGCAAGAAAACAATTAAAAATAAATAAATAAATAAATGAAATAAAATTACAAAGGAATATCAAAAAGGGGCGAATAGCCCAATGAAATTATTGATTAAAGAAAAACTACTTTTGAAATAATCGGATCGCTCGCAGTTCGCGTCGACGCTTGCTCGGTCGCTCATTACGACCATAATTGCAAATTTATTTCCTCAACTGGTGATGAATTGGCTTGTCAACTGGCATGGCGATACATAGCGGTATATATCTACTGGTTGGGCATCGCCACATTACAATACCAGTTGCTAGAAATGAAAAAAAAGAATGATTGCGAAGTAGTTGAGCCGCAAAGAAACCTAGTAGCTTTCTAGTAGCCAACTAGTAGAGCTTTGCCTGCTGGGTATGTAAGTATACGTTGAACGACGTTATTAATGCGAAAAGCTGGTTTTAATTGATGAATAAAAAAAAAACTACATATAATCTACCCGGACTTGCAACAAATTGTTTTTTTTTTTAAATAACGATATATAATAAATATTTAAATTCAGTATTCTAAAACTAAAATTTTAACATCTTAACATTAATAGCTAATCAGGGAGTAAACATGAAATGAAATTCGTTTATTGTATGATTTCATTAAATTTCGAAAAAAAGAAATAATAAACAAAAATAGCCAAACTTAAAAAAACGCAAATAATAAACATTTTCCAATTTCTTTTAAAAGCAAGTGAGTTAATTAATAAAACTAATATACCTAGCCATTAAACACCTAAATCGAAATTCATATATTTATGCATTTATTTGCTCACTTAATTGCGACAACAGCTTTATAATGAATTTAATAAAAAATAAAATTTATAAATAATCTAAATAGCGATGGAAATTAATTGAATTTCAAGTCGAAATCAAATGATTTTACGTACGTAACTTCTCAAATTAACATTTTTTTTAATGCCAACTGCAGCAACGCGCTGCCGAACCAAATCCAAGAGCTGTTCGTATGAGATTTCAAAAAAAAATTAAACTTTAAGAACAAGGTTGTTTTAAATATACAACTTAACTGCAATTAGCTGTATAAATTAAATGAAAAGTACGCAGCATTGAAATTTCTTTAAAAAAATGTTTTTTCTTAGATTCTAGTTTTGTATGAGAAATATTTACAAAGAAATGTTTAAAAAAGCGGCACCCTTTTGTAGAACCGATTAAGTAACCCAAGATTTTGATATTAATACAGCTTATATTTAAATTTTGATCTAATTGAAAAATGAAAATACATTTTTTGTTTTTTTGATTAAATTAATAAGCTAAGGTTGCGTTTGTATGCAAATGCTTGAAGTTAAGCGAATTTAGTGCGCCTTTAATCGCATGAAAACAAAATTTATTTTGCTTGAAATTGATAGCGTATCTTCAGTGTCCAATTGAAGATTTTTGAAGTAATTCGAATTTCTTCGTCAAGGAAATTCACTGTTCAAGAGTTATTGCGAAATAAATTTTTATATATATATGAACATATACAAGTAATATGGAGCTTGAAAGATCTTATACAGCTGCTTAGATATGTTTTTTAAGTAATAAAGTTTTTGACCACATCGTTGAGTGAATGAAGTGTCCAGAAGCATCCAATAAGGAAGTGAATAAGTACAAATAGCATCCTTAAAAAGTGTCATACAATTTTCTCACTACTTTTTAGCCAATTGCTTCAATTCTTTTTTTATGTCGTTCATTCGCACATTCTGTTATGGCACATTCGATTATTAATTTTTTACATAGTTAGTTTTTCGTTCTATTATGAATTCATGTTATAATTTGTTAATAATTAATTACCTACAAGACTACAACATCTTATTATATTTATATACATATTTACGCTTTAATTCGGTTATATATGTACATTTGGAATTTGGAAGGCGCGAAACGAGTTATGCTAAACTAAAAATATAATAACAATATGATACGTAAATACAAGTATAATAAACGCTGTTAAGGATAAATTTCTTTAAAAAAAAAATCGCTTTTAAATTTAGTCCTACCCCCTATCACCTTGTGAACCAGTTCAATAACTACTGTAAAACGAAGCCTTAACAGCCATGTATTTTCTCTTTAATAAAAATGCTTAGGCATCGAAATGTTTTATTGATATATAAAATCCTGATGCATGTGCAAAACAAGCGCTGACAATTTTTAGTATCGTCGACGTTTGTTGCTTACAAAAAAAAATAACGAAATTTTAAATAGCCTTTTATACAAAAAACTCGATTTTGATTTTTGCTCATCCTTTTCAGGATGCTATAGAGTTGGTTTTGTGTCGCAAATAATAAAACCTAATCACGATTTCATTATACGACAGCGAAAAATTCAATTTCCCTAACTCAAGTTCATTTACTATTCCTAATTTTTTTTTTGGTTTAGATTGGTTTTCCGTTTTCAAAATAGTTTTAAAACTAATTCTATTAATTAATTGTTGATCTAGAACAACGAATTTGCAATGAGTTCGAAGGCAAAATAATATAATATATCTCTTCCTACTCCAAACGTTACACACTTCGTATATTATGGCCTTTGATATTATTCCCTATTTTGTGTACGTTTTTTTATTCACATTAAAACTTTCTTCTCACGCGCATATAAAAAAAACAAAATTAAAGGGCAACTCTTTCACTCCAATATACGTATCTACGTCAATGTGATTATTAACGTTTCTGCATGTAGTATTATAATATTCACTGTAATGTGCCTAACTACGATTTTAGTATGTATGTATGTATATAATATCGTTTTTGTGGTTTCTTTTTTGTCGCTCCCATTTAATATGTAACACTGTGTATAACTCTTTATAAAATCCTACATAGTTGCTTGTAGTGTGTGTGTGTTGTGTGTTTGCATCACTCATATATCTATATATATATATGTAGATCCAATAACGTCTTTAGTTATAATTATTAATGATCAATATGTAGACAATGTATACTTACATGTACATATGTATGTATATGTACATTACGTATAAATGGTCTACATATGTACATACATATGTATTTGTATGTGAACAATAATATTTTAATTATTATTATTATTATTATTGACAAAGTTAATTTCTCTATATACAACAATTATGCACTTTGCAAAGCGTCGTGCTGGTCTCACGTTTTGTTTTGCCTTTTTAACATTTTGACATTTCGTTTATCAATTGCTTAAAAACTAAGGATAGGTTGTGATACATATATATATTTTATGTATGTATACATATGTATGTATGTATAAATATTTTATCAATAGTAGTAATAAGAATAATTTCTGACTGGTCCTTTTTATATATACATTCCCCGCGTATTGTATACGGGTCGTCTTTCTATAACCAAAACAGCTGAAAGTAGGAAGAAAAAAATTTGTTAACATCAGATTTTTATACACATTCAGCCGTAAATTTGTACAAGCTAAACACTAAAGTGTACAATGAGTAGGATGGGGCGGTTAACATCTAACTCAATTCAGTGAAAATAAATGATTATCGGATTTTCTTCAGGGGTTAACCAAAATCTTCATTTAACTTTCAACTTATTACAGTTTGAGTTAGGCCTGGAAAAAGTTTATAAAACGGTAAAAAAAAAGTTTGACTTATCAAGGATATGATATAAGGGTTTTCTTCATTATCCATGCGAAGTAAAACTAAATTTTTCAAACATGTGTTGATTGACTGCTGAGGCGCCAATTGCGGCGCACTACAACTAACCAACTAAGGCCTTAAATGAATATTTAAAGCAAACCTTGAGAAGTCGCCTAACTCAGCGTAGTTCGACTTTCGTCCTCTTCTTTAATGCGATAGTCCGTAAGCTAAATAATTCAGAAAGCTACAGCAGATATTTTAGCAAGTTTAGGCTGCAAGTACGCAAACTGGACCTACTAAATAAACTGGTACTAGTAGGGCTGGGACTATGCGTATATCCGGATAACCGTACGGAACTTATATTTTGTTAACCGGATATCCGGTTGATATCCTTCATTTGTTTATTCGGATATTCAGATTTTTTAATCAGATATTCGAATCGCAAACTTCCAGCCCTATTTCTTGGCGGGTGCCAGCACTACCTAAAAATTGCCCAAATTCTGTCATAACAACTGTTTTAAAATAATCTGTTTTGGCTGAGTTTTTCAGTTTAAATATTTTATGAGTCAAGTTTTAAGCTTAGATTTACAATTTTCAATAGATATAGACACATACTTCAAACTAAAATGTACAGACTGAAACCAGAACTCGGTTTAGAAATGTCTATGTTCGTCCTTTCGTTTATTATTATAATATATTGGCGCTTACACAATATGTTAGTATTTGGCCGAGCTTCTCTTCCGATTTGTCGTGTGCGCCCTGACGTTGTCACAATATTGTTCCAGTAAAAAGTGAAATATTTCAACAGAACTTGGTACTCCAACTTATTGGGGCTTAGGACGGATGGTATTCGGCCCTTTGCTGACGATATCGCCATGGTAAGCCATTTTACTGATGCGCCGAAATCGAATATGAACGATGCGATATTTAACCTCTACCAAATTTCTAGTCCAGCTAAGCAAATATAATTGAATATTTTAATTGGGACAGTAACCATGCTTTCATAAGTGCCATTCAATGGCTATGTTTACCCTCTAAATCCTCAATACATGGCTCTTTATTGTCTCTTTTTGCGGAAAACGGCAAACAAAATACCGAAACACCATTGTACCAAAATAATATTTACCAGAATGTCTCACAAATCCGTAGTTTGGGGGGTTACGGATAAAAATGTTTTTCGTAAAATTTCACTGTAAGTGACCTTACAAAAAATAGTAATATCCCTGAATAAAAATATGACATCTCTAGATACTCTATAAATGCGTTCCACTTACCATATTTCTGTTTATTGTTGTTCTACAACATTTGTTTTTTGTATCCTTATTGCAGTTTTTTTTTGCGAAAAAATATCATACAAACTAACTGTATGTAGTAGATTAGTAGATTTGCTGCAGCAGTAAATCTTGCGGATTGTAGTATTTCGAAGTAGCTTACGTTCGTAATTTTCGTATTTCTATATAGCCGTACTAACTATTTGTAACTATGTATAACTATGCACACGCGCTTAATTACATTGTGGTTATTATAGCAGTGTGTTCAAGTGAATCCACTTAAAGCAGCAGCCGTAGTAGTAGTAGTAGTAGTAGTAGTATGCATTAATGGTAGATGTAGTAGTCATAGTACGATAATTGAGAGCAAACCCACCAAATGGAATCCAACAATTAAGCAGCTTTGACAACTTTCACAATTCATATTGGCGCGGCGAACGTCGCCTTGTGTGCATATATAAAGGTTAGCGCTACGTTCGCTACACACACAAAAACTACTGGCACTTGCTTGGCACATGCTACGTTCGGTTTTTTCGTTGGTTTTTGGTCAACACCACTTATGGATATATATTTGAATTTTTTAATTCTTATATTTAAATTCTTTTATACCGCAGCAGAGCAGCACAATGCTTGAATTGGTTATACCATTCGTTTCTGCGCGCATAGTTATTGCAGCACACGCACACACACACACCATGTGCTTCTTTTCTTTTGCTCCAATTTCCCAATAAGTCCTTTAGCGTGCATCATCTACTTATGTTCTACTTGTGTAGTCTTATATTTTGTTTTAAGTGAGTATCGTGTGTGTGTGTAAGCTATGCTGTGTGTTATGTTTTCGTGTGAAATGCTGTTTCTAAGCAAATTATCTCCGTTTATTTCGATCGCAACCTAACTGACGATTAATTTCGGCCAGACTTCCGTCCACTACTGCTACTTTCGGCAGTATCGTGTCGTTCGCGCACATTCTTTTCTTTGCCGTCGATGCCGCGATTGCGTGCACCCGTTGTAACAGCCGTTGTAGTTATACCACTGTTACTGACTGCACCACTACTACTAAATCCACTGCTACCGCTATTGTTACTGCCTGTGCTTTGACGATTTTCACGAAAACCATCTGAAATTGAAACAAATTAATAATTACATTACTTTCAACAAATTTATAAATTTTATATACATTCACATTTTCACCAGCAGATATTCGTTATCAATATTGTTAAATACTGAACTTGCCTTTATCTTTGGAAATATCAGTGCGTAATGTAACTACATTACTCCCACTATCGTTCACAGCACCGGAATTATTGCCGCCACCACTACTGGCGCCAACATTTCCACCAGCGCCAACTATGGTGGCTCCACTTAACATCGATTGACTTAATACATTCGTTATGCCACGCGATTGCTTATCCATCAGCACTGATGCGGTTGCTGCTGATGGAGAGCCGCTAATCGACTTATCGCTTTGTTTTTCAGCATATTGCGATGCAGCTGCAATCGCTGTTGCAGGCAGCGCTGTCGCTGGCGCAGATGCCGCCGCCGCCACCGCTACCACACCAGCTGTACTGACTGGTCCAGACGCAGCGATATTACTATTCACAGTCTCAATTTTGTTTATACTCAAGGTTGCCACCGAAGATTCGTTTTTATTGGGCACAGCCACTGGTGATGCTTGACCTGAAACCGATGTCTCTTTGTTGTTGCCGCCTTCGACGACGGCGCGTTCCTTGTGATGTTGAGCGACTTGCGCATAGCTCAATCGTGAGCTGTTGCTATTCGCCGCCGCAGCAGCAGCAGCAGCAGCATTTACCATTGGTATGACGGTCTGCGCTGCGACAATATTTTCTATGGAAGCTGAATTCGTAGATGTTGAAGCATTCTTATGCTTAGTAGCATCTTTTGGCGTCGCCTTTTTGGCGAGTAAATCAGCAACTGCTGGCGGTTTCTTGTGATTGCTTAGACTACATTCGGCGAAATTTGTGGTCATTGTGGCCACGCTGCATGTTACGGCCGGTGTACCACTGTTATTGGCGGCGCCGCTGCTGCCACTACTTAGTGCACCAGCTGTAGACAATGTCGTTGATAACACAGTGTTAGTGTTTTTCATCAAACCAACTGAAGAAATTTGGCTTACGCTGCCACTGCTGTTGCCGCTGCTTCGGTGATTAATTTGATGATGCTGTTCGTTGTCGCTGGTAGCATGCTGTTGTTGCTTACATCCTACTTCTTGTGTTGACGCAAACAGTTCCTCAGTCTTGTTGGTTGGTTTCTCACCAGAGACTGAAAATTTACTTTATGTTAGTAGAATTTAAAGATTAATTATATAAAAAGATATACATTCACTGTCAATACGTTCGTGGTATTCAACTACAAATTTGTATTCGCATGAAATAGTAGCTTATGTCGAAAGGCTGGTTTTGGTATAATGCGGCATTCGCATCATACGATTACGAATGACTCACTGGCGCCGAGCCGTTGAAGAACTTTTGGCAAATAAACGTGCAAGAAATAGTTCCGTTACTAGCAAGTCAATATTCTTATTAAGTCTCATCAAAAAATTCCTTTTTTCAAATGTAACAAATATAACAATTCACGTGATAAATACCCAATACTCAAAAATACTTCCATCATTAATTGAATTTCATCAAAATACTAATGGCAAAGCATATAAATCTATCACTAATTTTTTAAAGGACATTGAAATTAATTTATAATCTTATAATTTAATTTAAAATTGGAGATGGCGTTTTAAGCTTTTTTGCTGGCCAATTAATTCTTCTTATAAAGAATTAGGAAGTAACTTTAAATTACAAAAAAAAAAANCTAGACGAAAAAAAAAACTGTGAATGAATGCTATAGCATTCTCGGCCGCTGGGTTCTAAGATGATGGAAAATACTCTACATTTCAAAAGCTCATTTTCTGCGGCAGCGTTGATCAACGCCATGCAGCATGTCCCAAAATATTTTTTTTTTAATAAAAATATAAAAAGTATTCAAATCCCGAAATCTGGCTTACATAGAGTGAAGCTATCTGTTAGTTAAGAGAAAAATTTTAGTTTGTTCTAGTTGTGAAAGTCGTTTTCTTCGTGAATGTTATCATCGTTAGTATGTACATATATCTCACCAGTATTACTGTCGTATGACGCGTTACTGCCAATCAGACTATAGGCGTTGTTGTTTTTGTTGTTATTGGGTTGTGTTGGACACTTTATCACAGTGTTGTTGGATGAGGAGGCAGAGGTGGTGTAGTTGTTATTCGAATTCGAATTTTGCTTATTCATCGTCGCAGACTTATTGTTGTTCGACTTCATTGCGGCTGCAGTATTTTGTTCATCTACAGCGTAAGCACCTTCTGTGGTAGTAGTGGTGTTATTCATATTGTTTATGGACGCTGTTGAGGTGGGACTTGAACCAGCAATACCGGCCACATTAATACCTACATTACGCGGCTGAAAATTTAGTTGCTGTTTATTATTATGGGCGGAATCTTTGCGGGACTTGCTCTTATTATTGCCACCAGTGACACTAGCACCGCCACCACCAGAGCGCACCACATCTGCCAAACGATTTTCATTGGTCCAGCCAGCGCTGGCGCTAATGCTGGTGCTGTGGTGGTTACTGCCACTGCTGCTGCTGCCGCCGCCGCCGCCGCCACCACCGGCATTTGCTGTTACGCCAGTTACCGTCGTCGAGGAACTATTAGATTGCTGTAAGGCATTAGAATGGCTTGAGCACTGATTAGGTTGTTGTAGTTGTTGCTGCTGCTGCAAATAGCCGGAGCTTGTCTTTTGCAGCTGCACATCATTATTTCCACTTACACTACCATCATTGCCGCCGCCGCCGCCGCCGGTGCCGCTGCTACTAAAAGACTGCTGCTGCTGCGACTGTTGGTGGTGTGGTGTCAAATTGGCAGTTTGCTTGTTGCCAGAAGACGCAGCGCTGTTGCTATTATTGCCACTACTGTTTGTCGGAATCGCACCAGAGGACGCTAACGAAGAAGATGCTGTGGACGATGAGGTTGCTGTTTGTATTTGAAACGTACAAAGAGACAAAAAAAAACGATTTACTTTTCAAGCAAATATGGTTTGGTTTGCTTCTTGGCCTATTATTGTAATCTAAGCTGACGGTAAACAAAACAATTATATGTCTTATGTTTCTTTTTTTATTATTGTCGATTGATTTAATCTCAAGGCATCTTCCGGAAATCTTGGCTTTGCCTGGTCGAAGTCTGGCGCACACTAAGGAAGTGAAAGTTCTCTCGACAAATTTGTGTATTACGTTCCGATTTAATAGCAATACTCATTGGAAATACTTTATAGGTCTGATCCCGATATTGTCTTAATCATAATCCTAATCTCAGTGTCAATAGCAAACTTAATTTTAATCTTAACTCTAAAGCGCTCGTAGCACCTGTCGATAATTTTTTCTCAATAGAGAAGAAGCAAAAAATGGATGCACTTCCATTGCATCCCAAGTTTCACTTTTTTCGACACGATTTTTTAATTCACTACCATCTCCAAAGAAATTTCAGTTAAAGCAAAAAAAAACAATCGAATGACAATCATTTTCTGCTTAATATTCCAGCAAAGGTGCAGGAAAATAACAAACCTGGCAGTGGCGGAAAAGCAGCCGCTTCTAGATCGAATTGTGGTGGTTGTGGCGGCGGCGCATGCTGCTGTTGCTGTTGCTGACCGTGATGTCCGTGGCCTCCACTGCGATCATTGCTGCGGTCGCTTATGCCATGTCCACCACTTGATCCACCACCACTTAACCCACCTCCACCACTACCACCACCACCGCCCACTTCGTGGCGATGATGATGGTAATGATGCGTTGAGCCTGTGTGGTGCGAAGCCGAATGATGGTGATGATGCGGTTGTGTTGTACCGCCGCCACTATGATGGTGATGATGTGATGCGCCCGAATGCTGCGAGTGGTGACCCATGCCACCACCACTATTGTAGTGCGGATTGTAATTGTTGCCTTTGTAGCCACCTCGATGTTCTTCACGATGCGTATTATAGCCACCAGTGCCGCCACCATGATGACCACTCTCACCGCGTTGACTATGGTGTCCACCGGCACCACCGCCGCCACTCGTCTGTGTTGAAAGTATATTGGTATTATTATTTGATAACGAAAGCGATGTGGCTGAGTTGGACGATTGTTGTTGTTGTTGCTGTTGTTGTTGCTGTGATTGATGATGTGACGATGAGCTACCACCAATGTACGATTGCTGCTGCGAAGTAGAGGATTGAATGAATATTTTTGCTTTTTGCGTATTCACATTGTTTGTTGTGCTTGTTATTATTGATGATGTTGTTGTTGTACCAAAATTATTATTATGATTATTGTTAGTAGCATTAGCATTAGTAGAAGTAGAAGTTTTAGTGGTAGTATTAGTAGTAGTATTGGTGGTGGTAGTAGAAGAGGCAGAATTGTTATTGCTAAATTTATTATTATTATATTGGTTGTGGTGGAAGCTGTTGTGGAAGCTATTGGACATTATTTGGGCTTGATTTGATTGGCTATGCTGCTGACTTTGGTGCTGGTTTTGGCCATAATGCTTATGTTGGTTTTGGCTATGACTTTGATTCAGTTCATTTTTCGCATACGAATTGCGGTTTGGACTTGGATTCGGACTCTGATTCGAATTTGTGCTCAGATTCTGATTGAGATTTGCAATTACATTTAAATTTAAGTTCATAGTATGGCTTGAATTCGCCGTGCTGTAGCTATCGATGGCAGTGATGACAGTGGTGGTGGTGGTGGTGGTGATGGTGGGGTTGCTAGTAAATGACTGCAAGCCGCCGCCATGCTGCCCTCCGCCTTCGCCACCGCCAACTCCTCCTGCTGCTCCTCCTCCTCCTCCTCCTCCTGAAGTTTCATTCCCGCTCGCATTATCTACGCATCCAATGTTGCCACCATTGCCTACATCGAATTCTACACCCATGTCACTTCCACCAACTCCAACTCCACCACCCACCCCAACAACATTGTGCACGAAAGTGCTATAAGGCGTATAAAATGTCGTTATACTGACCCCACCGCTTACTCCGCCGCCACCGCCGCCACCAAGTCTAGTGTTTGGCGAGTAAGTCATAACGCTACCGTCGTCGTCACGTCTCCGACGTCGATGTCGCGGCTGCGTCCAATGCATGGGCGGCTCCTTCCCCACCACACCAACTCCAACAGAGGACGACGTCGCCAGCGACGACGTTGAACTAGACAAGTTACTTCTATTGTGCTGTTGCTGTTGTTGATGGGGATGTGCAGATTGTTGCGAATGCTGCAACATATCACCGCCAGCACCGATAACTAATACACCACCATCATCTTGCAGCTCGGCAACATGCTGCCCATGCAAATGCTGCTGCACTTGCTGTTGTTGCTGCTGCTGGTGCTGTTGATGGTGTGTTTGGTGATGATGTTGCTGTTGCACCGACACTGTCGGTGTACCATGTGAATAGGAAGAATGTTGTATTGTTCCCGTTGCAGCGGCCCCTACCGCTGCTGTTGAGGAAGGCATTTGGTAGTGAGTTTGTTGTAAATGTGTGCCACCAGCAACTGCATTCGCTTGTTGCTGTTGTTGGGACTGCAGCTGTATTGTCGACGTATGATGATGAGACGACGCAGTGCCTGTTTGTGTTTGTGTGCTGTAGTGTATGTGCGAGGACATACTACCGCCACCGTAAGACTTATCCATTGACGATTTTGATATACCACCTGAAAAGTTGATAGAGCGTAAGAAATATTTTAAAGTCCAATAGATTTCGGGAGCAGTAAGAGAACTTACCTGCACTACTTTTCATACTGTTGTAATGTCTTGTGGAACTAGTGTTTTGAGGCTGCTGCTGTGATTGTTGTGGCTGTTGTTGCTGCTGTTGCTGCGCTTGACTCGAAGTCGCTTGCTGCTGTTGCATTTGAAGCTGAGGTTGCTGTGTCAGTGGCTGCTGCGACTGCTGCTGCTGTTGTTGATGTGGATCAATTATGGTTGGTACAACGCTTACTAAACTGCCAACAACATTGCCCAGCGTTGCAATCATACCAGGCAATTGCTGACTTTGTTGTTGTTGCATTTGTTGTTGCGTATTGTTACTACGCAACTTGCTGCGTCCACCACCACCAGCGCTGTTAGTGTTACTACGATGGCTGTTGTAGCGTCCACCACCGCTTTGTCCCTTTGAAGTGGTTGTCAATGGAGCAGCGGTTTGCGGGGGCGCAGATGTCGCATAAGCGGCTGGCACAGTCGCTTGCGGTGCTAAGCCATTAGCGGCGAACACATTTCCTATCTCATAAAAATTTTGACCGTGTGCTGTGGTAGCGGCTGCTGCTACAGCGGCAGCAGCCGCCGGTGGCCATGGTGTAGTGGCGACAAGACTTGGGTAAAACTGCTGCTGCTGGAATGGCTAAAGGTATGACATTAAAAATGTGAGGATACACATAGTTACTAAATAAAGCAAAGAACTTACAAAAAGATGTACTGGCGTATTATAAGGTACAGACGCCTGCGTCATTGCTGCTCCATTAGCTGCGTATACAAATCGTTGTGGTGCTGCGCTGTATGCAACTGCAGTTGCTGCAGCGTTCGGATCATACACCGCAGCTGGGGGAGAGGTCAGACGGAAGCCATTCTTTAAGGCTGGAACCGGTGCAATTGGCAGCCGGTTAATGAAAGGTTTCGCCTTCATTCTAGCCATAATGGGTTTACCCTACAAAAAAAAAAACATTAATTCTTAAATAGTTGCTAGGTAAGAACCGTGTAGGAACAGAGAAGAATTTACTAAAATAACAATAACGCTTTATTGGAAATATTTCATGAGTATAAAGTTTACATACATACTAATATAGAGTAATTTGTATATTTCACAGTTATAAAACGCATGAATTTGCTGTTTTCGCTTACCTGGAACTCTTTAACGTCTTCCCTCAAGTACTTGAAAGCCTTTTGGGCATCTTCATCAGACTCAAACGTAATGTACCATGAATTATTGCCCGCAAATTCGCATGATATTACGCGTGGACAATTTTCATTAATAAAAATATTCTGAAACAAAATGCAATAGTGTTTATGAATTTTTTTTTATTTAGGGAAAATATACTCATTGGTTACCATTACGATTTTTTTATAGTTTTCAAATACGGGTCAATGATTAATACATGTACAATTCTTACAATATAATATAAATATTGATGAAAATTTTTAATCTGATTTTTTTTTTTAATTCTTTTTTTAAGTACGCAGTTTTATAGCCCATCAAATTTTAGTATAATAAAAATAGGTAGGACTTACCGTTGATTTTGGACATTTTTTCGTGTATTTTTTCCATACAAAAAATTTTCGAAAATAGATTAAAAAAATGCGAATTTGTTGCATTGTGATATATTTTCTGTGCCAATACTTTTTACCGTGAGTGTACATGTATCTACACGCGTCAAAAGTGGTAAAAATCGCGTTGATTTTTGTACGCGCAGTTCCCTCCTTACAAAGTATGTTCGACAATTTTTTTGTATGGAAAAAAATAATAAAGGCAGTGTCACACAATTGGTACATTGGTACAGATTTGTTCATTTTTTATATGCGATACAATATAAAAAAATTAGGACAATTTTTTTTTTTTTGTTTGGTACAATACAACTTCTATTGAAAAATTTTAGCATTTTGTTGTTCGTGATTGGAACAAAGCAAATGGTTTGTGCATTCACACGATTGGGATACGATTTGCACCAAATCTTGGGCAAAAGCCCAACCGTGTGGCACTGCCTTAACACCGCCAGCAATTTTCCTAAGTTTTGCAGAAAGTTTATATATTTTATTTTTATGTTTTTTTGTATAATATGAACTATAGTTACATAAAAAAATTGCGAAAAGAAATGAGGATAAAAAACTTTGCATACATTGCGAAAAATTCGGTGTCTGGCACTGTATGTACTTATAGGATACATTTAGTGTGTTTACCTTAACTTCCTCCACTGGAGTTTTATCGGATATTTCTCTCAGTATAATTACGCAACGTTTGTGATTTGGGCGAACACGTAATCCTTCCTCATCTACTTGCACATTTGGCGATTCTCTTAGCACTTCAGTAATCAGTTTAATATCCTTTGTGAGCTTCTTGACAAGATTGAAATTGGCCACAGTGATTATGGGAACATATTGGTCGGCGTCCATTTGTGTCAAAAGGTATGTATCGTTTGCTAAATTTTCTCTGTAGTAAAAAGAAAAATGTGTTTCGACATTTCATTTAGGAAGTTTAGTTTATATTTTAATGTGATCTCAAACCGATGCTATACGCCATCGTATTTGATGCGATGTGGTATTATTTTTGACGCGATACGATATCGTATTTGCTGCGATAACGCTAAAAAGCAAAGGTCATCAAACTGATGCGATACAATACACGACCTAATCACGATGCGGGGTGACAAAATGAGATTGTTACATATCTCTCGTTGTGTCGCAGAGGCTAAGTTAGTCGATACAAAACATATAAAAACTGTTATAGATATGTATATTGCATATAAACGCTCTGAGGACGAACTGATTTAGGCATCTGCACTTAATGAAAAAATGGGGCAGTTACGTACATACATACATACTTCGTACATACATATACATATATTAAAAAGTTGAAAAATTTTAGAAAAAAAATGCTAGCCAGATGCAATTCTACAATGGAAAAGCCATTCATATCTTGCGATGAATTGTGGCTGCTGATAGAGTTTTTAAACGCATCGTATCGCACCGGTATACCACGTCTGTTTCGAGCCCTTCCATATACCATGATTCGTATTGATCGCATATCGTAAATTTTCGTATCGCACCGGTGGTATCGCATCTATTTGAGGTCATCTTTAATATATGTACACATGTATATATGGACATTATGAACAAAGTATGGTTTTTCAATATGAAATATTTACCTAGAAAAATAGTATTCCAATTGGGTTGAGAGCATCTGTTTAAGCTGTTCCAGCGGTATGCCAGAACTGTCAACTGTATTTGCCGAATTGCTACCGGTTATAATCGTTTGTTGTTGTTGTTGTTGATGTTGTGAATGTGTTTGATGATGCTGTTGTGCTACCACCTGTTGGTGCTGATGTGGGCCATTACCTACAACCACATGATGTTGCGTGTGCGATTGATGAGCTCCCACTGATGTGGGCGTTCCCGTCATTGATGCATCAACAGCTATTAAATTCGTTCCTGTCGTCATACCAGCGGTCAATTCATCCTGCTGGCCATAGCAGACGGCACTGCCGTCCTGTGCAATTGTGCCATTCATTACGGCGGCTGCGTACTCGGCGCTATCAATCGTTGTGACCGTGGTGCCCCCAGTAGCAACTTGAGCCACCGCTTGTGGCTGATGAGCGTATTGTAAGTGTGCGGTTTGATGCGCGGCAGTTGGCACCGTTTGTAATGTGGCAGCAGCAGTGGGTGTTTGCTGTGTATGTGGAGCTACTGCGGCAGCGGCTGCAGCAGCGGCGACAGCTGCACTATGTGTATGTGTATGCGCGTGTGGATGACTATGTGGTATCAACTGTTGGTGCTGGTGTTGATGTTGATGTTGTGAAGGTGGTGGTGGGGCGGCCACTTGCAACGCTTGAGGATGCGGCGGTTGTTGAGCTGTGGTCGCTATCAATGGGATGTGTGTTGCTGCTGGAGCTGCCAATTGTGTTGTCGGTCCGTACAGATTTGTTGTGGCAAGCATTGCCGTTTCAACGGGTACGTGAGCGTATAGTGCGTTTGCAACAGGTGGTTGTAACTTCACTGCATCCCCATTCATATAGACATAACCGCCTGCTAAAAAGTTACAAAAAATAAAAAAAAATAAAACAACAAATTTATATAAATGGAATGAAGATTTGGAAGGTTTTGTGTTTTTATAGCTTTTATGCATTTTAGTACATAAATGAGCGAAGGATCGTTTTGGGTTATGTGAGTTTCGAGTTAAATAGTACATAATTTGTATTATAAGTAAGTAATATAGCCTAGCATGTGTTCAAAGTTTTCAATATTTTAGTATCGACAAAAATTGAAATAAATTAATATCAGTGTTTCTATTTATTTTTGGAAATGTAACGCATTTGCAATTTATTTTGTTATTGTGGTAGGTATAAACTTTTAAAATAGAAGGTACTATTCCAAATTTTAACCAAGCCTTTTGCTGCACACTATTTTTATAACTGTAAAATTCTCTGGTTACAAATCACGGATTTGGCGTTTATTTATAGGGAAGCTGAATGGTCAACAAACGACTTCATGGAAAAAATGCAGTACGCATATTTAGTGTGCGCAATTTTTTGTGAGAGTGTCTGGCCATATAGTCATATCTATGGCAATGGTATATGTACAAATACAAATGATTGTAGTCATGTGAAGGAAAATAGAAGTGCTAATATTCAATGCAGCGAGATGTCATGCAAAAATAACACGCTAAATCATATACAAACGCGCACACTTAAAGAAAGCGCAATGGCAACAAAACGATAAATAATACAAAATTAGTTTAGAAGAATACACCCAATAGGCGTACAAGGGAAGCAGTGCGCACAAGAGTAAGATATCGCGACTTAAGTTGTGCTATGGAATGTCGAATGGAAAAACCATGAAGACGTGTGAATGAGACCTAAAACTTTTTAATCGTAAACAGCGGCCGGATGATGGAGCTGCAGAAGCTATGTATACGCCAAATTAAAAACTCCTCGAACTTTAAAAAATCCGAACCGACTTAGCGTTCATTAACTGCCACACCTCAACAAAATCGTCAGCTTTGCTTGTTGTCAAAAAATGCTCATGCCCATGCAAGATGTATGAAGCATACCGAAATAACGCGGTATCAACGCTGAGCAGTTGGAAAATCCGATTTTGAAAGGGTGTTAGAAGGTGAAGTTGGCTGCAGAAAATGGCGAAACTGTCATTTTTGTATTTCACATCAACAGAGCTATGGTTATTGATGGTGTTATTTCTGCGTTGACGTAGCGTTGCTGCTTTTGTTTAAGAATTAAGACTTCGGCAGTAAGGCAAATTTTTGTTGTTTGATAGTAGGTGGAACGACCCAGATTTATATCTGGCCAATGACTGTAACTCCAGTAATACTCCCTAAAAACTGTTTGGGCAAATTGTATGCTGTTACAGTAACAATACCTGCCCGTCTCTGCTTGAGAGGCTGCAGTTCAATGTTCCGAGTCCGACGTCCATCGCACATTGCTTCAAAACTGAAATTTACTGTTCATAATTCACTGGAGCGCATAAAATTTGCAAGGGACTAGTTGAGCCCAATTTTTGAATTTTTTTTGTTATATTAAATTTTTAGTGAGAAGAGCAGAAAAAGTAGCAATTTGAAGAAAATCGATATCTATCTACTCTTGTTCCAGTTAATAAATGTTACAAAATCAGAACTACATAGTTGAAAACAATCGTAGGGCTTCTTCAAAGCAAAAAAAAATATCAAAAGAAAATTTTGAAAAAAAATTTTCGGAAAAATTAATTTTTTCACAAAACTTAATTTTGTTTTCATTAAAATTAATATTTTTTCACCAAAATTAATACTTTTTCACCAAAATTAATATTTTTTCACAAAAATTTAATTTTTTTATTTTTAGTAAAAAAATTGGGTATGCAAACGCTTTTATTTCCCATCTAGGAAGCAGTGGTCGAAATGTTTGCGATAAAAATTTTAAATCAACTCGAGCTCTAGCCACTTGTAACTTGCATTTTATTACACTAAAATTTAATGATCTAGCGAAACATAAGGCAAATCAGTGAAGCAAACCTGTTGTTTTACTTGCACTAATTACCATTTAGGCCAAAAAAGCTCATCAAAAAAAAAGCAAAAATTAACAATATTTGACAGTTTAGAGACCAAAAAATTTAACTACTCTACTGCTGCTGCCTTTTTGGTAGCATTTATTAACTGGAACAGGAGAGTCGATTTTATTCAAAATCTCTTCTTCTGCACTTTAGACTAAAAAATTTAATAAAAACAAATATGGAAAAATAACAGTTTTACGTCCGTATGGCGATTATTTAGGCAGAAATCCATCTAACATCTTTCGTCACATTCAATGAAAAAATTCGGTATTCACACTGTTGGAAATATCAGAGATTTTTCTGATGAATGCTAGGATATTATTTTAATGGACAGTTGAACAAAATTGAAGGCATCGATGCCAAGCTATGATCAAAAGTAGTAGCATTGCTTCCAAATACTAACCTAAAAAAATTAAATTGAAAAATACTTATTAACAAAAGCAAGTAAGTCGTGGCTAATTAGCTGCACGACCATTTTTGAGTATCACGCTTCAGAGTTAGCAAATTTTTAAACGTAATAAATGTAGTACGTACCTACTAAGATGTTACTTCACAAAGTTGTATGTCCTCTGGACATATACAGTGAAACCTCTCCTAACGGACACCTCTATTAGACGGACACCTCCCTTGGGCGGACATTTTTCCCTATACCAAGTTTTAAGTATAAATTTCGGAACAAATTACTCTCTCTTAAGCGGACACTCTCTTGGCCGGACGCGGACAGTTATTTTGCATAAAATTTACACAAAACTCTATTGGGCGCACGCGAACCTCTTATCAACGGACATTAAGATTTCTTTTCATAACAAATCAAACAAAAACCTCCGTTGAGCGGACGCGAACTCCTCATAGGCGGACTACTAAATGGAAAAAGGGGACTTCCCGCACAAAATGTGATTGTTATGCACACATTTAGTTTGGTTTGCGCAGTGGTTTAGGTTCGTTATTTGAATTGTCAGAAACCCTTGGAGACTGATAAAAACATGAAAACTATTGATGAAAAAGGTACTGACACTGAAAAAAATTAAAAATAAAACTTACGTCAATCGACAATTTCCCAGTTTTTTATGTAATGAATCTATGATTTTATGTAGTTTATGGACTAAAATGTAATATTTACTTTTATTTTGTTATTACTGAATATGTACTTACGCACATAAATGAAATGTGCACTTTTGAAAAAATACATGCACATTTTTGTTTGAACGATGTAATATCAATATCTTTTATTCAAATAAGAAATAGTGACTATTCAATTAATTAAAACATTGAAAAGTTCTAAAATAAGCTTCCCCTCCATTAAGCGGACACCTCTCTTGGCCGGACAAAAAATGACTGACGGTGAGTGTCCGCCCAAGGGAGGTTTCACTGTACTCAAAAATCGGCCGGTTAGTATTTGGGTAGTAAAATGATGTAGATGTTTTTTTTTTTTTACCAAAGAAAGTAAAGATGTAAATAAATTTCTTGCAAAATAATATGGAAAATATTAATTTCATAACGGTTTACAAATTGTATCGGACGAAATGGCAAATCTGATGTTTTATTGTTGTCAGACACTACTATACATAAAACATATGAATGCAGCTAGATGATGAAGTGAATGAAAAATAGAAAACTTCTTTGTCTTTGCAAAAAATCATTAATGCTTCAACGACTAAGATAGTGAACTTTAGATTCGTGAAATGTTGGCAGGCAATACAAACCCCATAGGTATTCCATTTTGTGCGATACTTGGAAACTTCAGATCGGCTAACACTTTTTCGTATTGGCTTTACCGTTGCTGCCTGTTGACTGTTGACCTTATATACGCACGCACTTACGCACTAAACGTACGTATAAGTGCGCGCTTTTTATTTAAAAATTTAGATATATTCACTATATTGTTTATATTCCCATTCAAAACAACTCGTTGTATTTTTTATTTAAATTAATTATAATTGCCGCTTTTGAAACTCGGCTTCAATTCATCGCCGAGTTTGACAATTGACAGCCACCGCCTTCGTCGTGCTATCGGTGTGCAAGTTTTCCGTCTTCCGTTTCCTCTTATTTCTTACTTTAACCTTTTCCGCTTGATCTATTGAAATTTATTGTAGACGTCGCCGTACAACGCCTCTGCCGGTGCTATGGCAGTCAAAACGCTGCCAGCGCAAACGCACGCGTTTTTACTGCGTCGACTGAGTGACTTAATTCTACTTCTCTTTTATTCAATCGCCTTCTCTCTTCTTTCGGCCTTTCCTTTCAATTTATCGCTTTTTCCTACTTTTATCGTATTTTCCCTACGTAGTCTCTTTCGTCGTGTTCCTTTTTCTCGTCAACGTATTGCAGATTTTCGACGTAGTGCGTTGCTTCCAATTTTTCTTCTATTCATGTTACTTTAACTAATTATTATTTTTATTTTTGTTCATTTTTCCACAAAATGCACTTTAGCCAAAAGCACGCAATGCAAAAAGTCGAATGCGATCAAATATTGAGCAGTAACCCTATAAGTATTTTCATTTTTCTTTCTTGCAAAATTTCTTTTTTCTTCTCTACATAGCCTTGCTGTGATGTAGCTGGCTACCAATTTTTTTCACTTCACCAATTCAGATTTCAATCAATTTGCCCATACGTTTTTTTCGCATAGATTTACAACACCAAATATCTATCGTTTTATTATATTTTTATTTCTGTTCACTTCGACAACAATTCCACGCGATTTTCAAGTGAAATATTTTATTTATTTCTGCCACAAATTAAGTGAATAAAATTTTTTGACATATCATTAAATAAGTCAGTCGCCGTTTAACTTTCGCCCCGTTTCAATACACACATATTCCCACAAGTACGGAACGGCCAAACAGCGAACAAAAGGCAGATTTGCAAATTTTGAAATACATTGAAAATGAAACGAATTAGTATTGCCAATGCAGGCTTTTGAAAAACATGTGCACATAACACGCAGGGTTGTATGGTAAGAACTCCACACCCACACGTTAAAGTGAAGTTAAACGTGGCAATGTAAGCACTTTTTGCCAATTTGCATAAATCACTTTAGAAAATAAAAATTGCAATGGTAAATGCACATGAAATTACCCAAATCGCTTTCGAGAAATTATTTCAACTTGTGCGGCACTATCAATTTTAATTTTTGCTGAAAGTGCTGTCGTGCCGTGTGAATTTTCTTTTTGATGCAGAAATATTCCTAGAGCATCTAGATGCAATAATGTCGCTTACGTTATTTTGGCGGTTAGGACTCGATATATAAAAAAAGTACTTATAATTAATTTATTCTCGTTATATGAACTATTAATTATTATTATTTTATTATATTAAAGCATTATTTTATTATATTAAAGCATTAAATACTTTGTGGCTGTTTTGTACATATCTGGTAACACAGTTGAAATTGGAATTTTCTGCATTCATCGTGTAAACAGACAAAAAGTAGGGTCGGTTATTTCAATGTTCGGATATAAAACTGCTCTCGAAAGTCACCTTACATGCTTTAGGAAATGCTAGTGGTTGAAAGACTTCTCAAAAGGACTTGCACTTGCTACGTCTAAGGACTTCTTATGGCCTGTATGGCGCTCTCAAGAAAACGGTCAATAAAAAATTGCCATTATTTTGACATTTCTGATACTTCACAGCCTGTTGCCTCACTCTTTCCTCAACAAATAATGGAACGGGCATATATTTATTTATTTTAGTTAGCAGGTATTTTAAACGAGCTGTACAAAGCTATAGGAAAATCTTAATCTAAGGGTCAATTTCATAATGAAACACTTAAAGTTCCTTTTGCAAAAGTTTCCTTTTAGTTAAAGTGTCATTTAAATGTACTTTAAACAAGAAGTGTTTTCATAATACAATGGTAATTGAATACTAACAAAAGGTTCATTTAAATGGATATCGGCGATTGTCATAAATATGTAATTATAACTAAGAAAATTACATACTTTTTTTCTTACGAAAGGACCTTTATGTCATTTAAATTTCCATTTTGGGTATTTAACTCTAAGGAGCCTTTATGGGCACCTTTATCTTTATGAAATCGAACAGCAAAATTAAGCATTCTTTCAATTTTAAAATATTCTTTAATTTTATTATGAAATCGGTCCTAATAAAATGACGCCTTATAAACAGCTGAGTGAGAATAGAAACTGGATGTAATTTAAGATCACACACACGTATGTACATAGGTACATACATACATATGAATGTAAGTCAATATGTATGTACATATTACGCAGCTTCAATGGGCTCCCTGCAGGGAAAGCTACTAGTTGTGAACTAAAATACTACCAGTTTGCTTTGCAGCCCAACTAGTTCACGTTCCATCCTTTTTCAATGTTAGCGTACTAGTAACATGCTAGTTAACGAACTGGTATTTTTGCTGACTGGTTTGGCAGACTATTTTACTTTTGTCTTTTTAATTTTTGTTACCTTTTCAGGGAAGTCTAGCTCCCTGTATAACAAAAACCATGTATGTCTGAATTTCAAACTTTTTTCAAAAATTTGGAAAATTCGACAATTTCATGAAAATGGCAACTGTACAGTTTAGTAGCCCATTAAATTATAAATAATAAAGTTTAAGTTTGAATTGGCCACTGATTTTTGTAAATTTTTTACTGACGGGCATGTTCCGCCAATTTTTTATATAACACCGTTAGAAAAAAAATTCCAAAAATCAATTTTAAGTTCCAGCTACTTCCAACTTTATAAAATTTAAAAAGTAGCATGAAGAAGTTTACAGGAACACATTCCTGTAAATTAAAGTATTGGGGATCTTGTGATATCGCTCTCGCTCCCTATGTACATCTAACATTATTTTGTTTTTTTCTCAGAAAAATTAAATAAGTTAATTGTAAAATCAAATATTTTTAAAGCAAGCTTTCTAAGTATGAACCAAATCGGAATATAAATGCGGGGTTTTCAAATATCTCGACTCCTGCGCCACCTATCGAATTAACTCATATTTCGTATTGCATTGTCATCGGGTTCTGAGCCAACTGTGAAGTAGTTTCAAGTCTCTAGGTCATCGGGAAGTTGATCAAAAATTGATTGCAACAACAATGCACTACAGAAAAATTATTTTTAACCAGATAACCTGATAACCAGGCAAGCGTGAACAGCCACATTATAAAAACCGAATATGTTTAGTTGATTGTTTCTACAAACACGTTCTAATAAGGACAATAAACATTGGTATTTTCGTCACCCTAGTAATACAACATTTCAAAGGAATTGAAAAAAAAAAAATTTGTGTTGAATAGCAATCGCTTTGTTAATGGCCCTATTATGTATGGCGACTGATAGCCGATGTGCAACCATCAGGGCTGCCAACTTGGCACAAACCGTGCCATTTTTGGCTCTATTTTACTTCAAATGCCACTTTATTTTTCAATTTGGCACAAAGTGCCAAAATGGCACTTTTGAAAAATAGTAATATTTCAACACATTTTTGGGAAATCCTTTGCGTGTACTTCTTTTTCTCAACTAAAAATTTCTAATTTCTATAGTGTATACAACTGTTTTATTTATCTTACTTTGGCACTGGACTTTTGTTTTAGGAATGTATTTCTAATTTTAATGCTAGCTGGGAAGAATTAAAAAGAATGGCACCTTTCTTGGCACTTTTATTTTTCTATTTGGCACATTTTGGCACTTATTGAATTCCTAAAGGAATCTGTACATAGGCAAGCAAAAACATTCACTTTAACCAGGTTAAGTGTATAACATCAAACATTTTTTGCACCATAGAAGGGCAAGATTTTTTGGAAGAAATAAAAACACCATAAGTTGGAATGTGATAGTTATTTATAAATTCTTAAAAGTTTTGTACAAAGATGTTGGTTTACATGTTATTAGTTCATCAATTGCTTCAGATTAAAGCAATTCACAAACGGACAACAAAATAAAGCGATCAGTTAACATTTCAACACATTGACACGTGTGTGGCGTGGTTTGCAAACCGATTAAAAGTTTACAAAAATGTTTGTCAACTTTCGATCGGTTTGTCAAGTAGCTAAAAGAGTCGTTGAAATAAGAGTTTAATATATAACTAAATAGTACTTAATAGAGCTGTTGTTCTTTTTTAAATTAAATTAAAATTGTTAAAAAGTCCACATGTATGTGGCGAAATGAATTTCTACCGATTGTTTTAATTTATTGTTCGTTTGTGACCTACTTTAGAATTGCATGTATTAATGGTAATTTTATACACTTGTTTGTGCAAGTCATGGGACTTTTTTTAAATTCAAAACCGTTTGCGCCTATGAGGTTTCAAGTTATATGTACCATTTTGGTTTAAGAAAAAAAAAGCGTAAAACATTAATCAAGCAAGCTATATTTTAATAATTTTTAAGTATGTATGTACATATGTACAGTAAAATATATTTTGTGTTTAAATTTAATTTGTTTGATTATTTATGTGTTGATAAATTATGCAGCCAAACATTTTAAGCACTTTTTTTTCAATTACATATAGGATAAGGATTTGATGTGACATGACCATTTTGGGGAAATGCACACTTACCACCAATATCCATTCCACATACAACGTTTTCTGCCACGAACGAGTAAATGATGAAGCCTTTTAGTGAAAAGGCAAGCCTTTCACACTCGTTTATCTATGCAAAGGAAGCCACCAAGTTACACGCGTTGATCGTTGGATGAACACGAAATGCTTTTTAATTGATTTTCATTTAATGAATTTGATTTTAAACATCTTTACTTTGCGACATGTTGCTAGTAACGAGTTTGGAGTAAATAATTGAAAGTGTTTAGTTGTTTAATAAAATAATTAAAAGGACAATGTAAAGAAAGTTTGGAGAAACATTTAAAAAAGTGATTAAGGACATGATATCATTTGTAACAATTATTAATGTAATTGTTATGAAATATATATATATGTATATATGTACATAGGTATTCTTATACGTATAAAATATATTCAAGTTATAATATACTAGTTTATGTTTATTTTTAAATATGTATGCAAAGTACGTGCTGATAATATGAATATGGCTCATTCCACGGTGACGGGTGTTACATGTCCCACATACAATATTTAATTCTTAAACGATTATAGAAAATTCTTTAAAACGATTGTTTTCAGTTAGATTACATCGATAGATACAAAGCCTACAATGAAAATCTCAAAAGTTTTAATCCGAAAGAGTTAGATTCAGATTAGCTACTACTTACATGTATCATAGATTTCTTGCCAATTATGTCTTCTGCTTATAGTTTTAAATATGTAGTTCATTGTATAGTTAAATACAAATTTTCAACATTTAAGGCGATGTTGCTTACCTGAATTTCTAACTATAGCTTATATGTTCCAAATTCAAATGTGACGGGTGTGACATGACTTTGTGACGGACGTGACAGACGGAAAAGTTGAGCATGGATAAAGAAATCAATATTATTGTACCATGTAACTAAATTTATTTCCAAATAAAATCGTATTTTACAAATACACTCCAGACCCTGCCAACTAATGACAGGATAATTCTTGCTCGAACGTTATTGTGAAATACGTAATTTTTAAATAGTCCTACCTACACTTTTCGTGTATTTTTGCGCAGAGCCCATATCGAAATTTACAAAAGTACATATTTGAAACCAAATTAATTAATAAACTAGTGCTCGGGAATTTTTATTTTAAAATAAAGTTGAATATTTTTAGTTTAGAAAACCATCCAAAATCATTGGACGAATTGTTTTCTTCATTGATCGTTTAAATAACGCAAAATTCATATCATATCGTAAAATCATATGGTCCAACCTAAAGTGAAAAAAAAAATATTCTGAATTTAAAAGGCGTGTCCGACGTGGCAATATTGTGATTCGATTTGTGAACAGCCAGAAAGACCTTTCTGTCACATTTCGGAAATCAGTTTCAGAAATAAAAAGAAAGACACTCATCATGCAACTGATTTCTGGCATTTCTCAATTTGACAGCCTTTTCGAAATATATTGCATTACCAAGTCTGACAGGCTCTAAAGGTAAATTATGAAATCTAGTGCTTCAGTCTTGAAAGTTGATTTGTTTATTCTTACTTTATAGAAATAATACACTCAAATTTGTAAGTTTATGTATCTTCATTTCGTTCGGTAACGATTAGCGTGGAATGAGCCATATGCATTATATATGCATATCGTCGTTTAAAGTACAAAGCGCGTATCGTCATTCTGCGAAACTGCGTAACTGACATTTGCTGCCAAAAATTGGATTTTATTTTTTATTTTTATTTATTATTACACATACGCGGCTCTGCATTTTGTTGATACGCAATTTTGTACTTTAAACGACGATATATATGTGCATATTAGGTATCCCTGTAAAACTAACACGGTATCTCCTGTCAGCAAACAAGCATTCAGAGCATTAGCGTCTCGGTACAGCAATAATTTTGAAAATGTAGACTACGTTTGCCTAGGAACCAACAATAACACCGATAGTAATGTCAGTGGGCGTGCAATTGAAAAGTAAAGTCCTCGCTCGACGAACGAAAATTGCACTGCCTATATTTATCATCAAATCTGTACTGATGGCATCATCTGTTGTGATCGAGCTTCGAGTGTTTGAGAGAAAGATTCTGCGTAGTTATGAATCCCCCTTTAAGCATTTGTGAAGGCGAATACCGGGAACGTTGGAACGACAAGCTAAGGCATAGCACAGGCATCATTTGTTGTTGTTGTAGCAGCATTCAAATTCCCCAAAGAGTTTTTGGGGAGTGTTGCTGGAGTGACAGTCCCTGGCCAGATATAAATCTGAGTCGTTCCGGTTAGATAGACCCGACTGTCGTGGGAACGACGGAGAGTCAGTATTTCGATCTGGAGTTGCTTGGTTGCTATTGGATCCGAATAAATGCTGGACAATTATTAGAAAATAGAGGTTTGCAATTTTTTTTATTTTCATCGATTACGAATGATCAACGCCCAAAATGATCCAGTGATCGACAACGATGGAGGGACAAGCCGATCTAGGCAACTTGCAGTGATCACCCAGTTTTAATGATACTTCGAACGTCTATCTATCTATACTTGAAACACTTATCAATAGAGATAAGACAGGATGTTGGAATACACTCAAGGATATTAAACTATATCAGCAGTTTTGTAAACCCGCGGAAATTTTGAATAATATTACATTACGAGTCCCAACTGCCGAGTTTATATTCCCTGCTGAGAAACCCGCTGAGGACATTTGAGAATTGGAAATCGGCGTATATTTAAAAAGAGTTGAACGCCCATCCCTGCTTAGTCTTCTATATATTGTTGACAATATTTTTAAGTTATTAAAAAATCCCATGCTAACATTACCAAATACAAGAAACAGATCTTGCATTGACAAGTTGTTAGTATGCATCATTAAATCAATATTTTTTTTTTAGTTTACTTACTCGAACTTGCAAAAACTGAATGGCTCCAATGCAGGAATTTAATGGAACTCAGCAAAATTGGTATTTCTTTTGTAGAGATTTAGGTGAACAGAAAATGGAAAGGCTTTTAGCTATATTTATGATTGTAAATATGTAAGTATGTCTTCTCCTAACTTAGGATATTTTTCGTTTTAAGATCACATTTACTTTCGTCACAATGTTTTTCTAATTTTCTGCATAGATGCTACTAATATGAAGCGTCTTAATAAAGTTCCGGGCTGAAAATATGTTGAAACCACTTGTTCTGCTACTTTTTTTTACACGACACGCAATTGAAGAAACCCACGAAAAATACACGAACGTACAAATGTTTAAATAACGTATTTTATCAAAGTCAGTTTTCAAATTTCGCACTTTTCTTTCCCCGCGCAATGATAGTCACTGTAATAATATTAAAATTATATTGTTTAATATTTCCTTTATTTAATGGTAAATTGATTTTGTAAAAGCCGCTATGTTTCGATTCCGGGTTGACGCATTCACAAATTAATCTGACTTTTCTTTCAAGCAAATTCTTTTTTCGCCTTTGTTCGCTTCAATGAAACATGAAACATCACTTGCGATTTGGCATTTCAAAAATTCCATTCCGTTTTAAACTGTACCAAAATTGCAAAATGTGAAGCAAAACGATTTCGTAGCATGGCAGAATGCGTCAGAACAGGTAAAAGCTATTCTCGTAGCATTCAACTGTCAAATGTTTTCCCCGGTATTATAAGGAACAGGGGTGCAAGCAAGACTGCAATATACCGGATTTTCCTTCACGCAAATACACGGCAACCGCACAATGCAAATTCAAGCCTCGTTTCCCACTTCGCCCAAAAAACCGCCTTCTTTCGTTCCCTTCTTATCTTTTTCCGTACAATGGCTGAGATGCTTTTCAAGTCTGGATAATTCCTTCTTTCAGCATTCAAAATGTCGTAAATACATCGAATTTCATTGCATAACGAATGCGGGTAACTATTTAACAACTTTTCTTGATTTTTATTCGCACAATTCACAAATTTAACTTGAGTATTTCGGGAAAACTGCAGCCACAGTCTGTACACGAGCGAGCGTAATGTAACTGTAACCAGTGTTAGAACGAAACGAGTACTAGTGATAGAACGATACGAGTACCGAGTACAGAATATGGAAACTTTTCATGAGTACTGAGTAGTATCGCGAATTCCAAAATATATCTAAGTTTTAAGAACTTTTATAAAGTAAAAAAATTAAAAATTCATATAAAAAATTTAATTTCTTCAATTACAAGATGTTGGACAACTACCCAATAAACATTGTGGCGAACGTTCGAAAATTATCTTTGATATCCAATATGAATGTCCTGAAAAAGAGCATAACGCGCATTTATTTCAACACTGTCTTAGCAGCTATTTAAAGCACTGTCTATTTAATTTACAAATAGGAAGAGGTTATAAAAGCAAAGCAATCTGATTTTTGTTTACTTTTCGCCTTTGATTTAAAAATACTTTAATGTACGAGTACTATTAATACTTCTTTGCAAATATGAGTACTGGCATCGATTCTTCTTCAGAGTGTTCTATATGAGTACTAGTATCGATACTTTTCTAATAAGTTCTATCACTAAGACTGCTTTGACACAGTTCAAGTACTGAATTCAATTCTGCTCGCTTGTGGAAGAGAGGGGTGAGAAGAAAGGGGACGAGTACACATGCGTCTGTACCGTCAAGTCGTTTCATTTTTCTTGCTTTGCTTTTGGCATTTTCGTTGCTTTCCTTTTAAGAACCAAAAACTTGAATTCAACAGAATTGAAACGTGTAAAAGCAAATAGAAAACGCAAAAGAGAATAAGCAAGAATTTTTCAAGTACTTGAAACATGTAAATCGGGTTTAACGAGTACCGAGTACAGAATATCGATACTTTTCATGAGCACTGAGCTATATCGAAAATCCGATGCTTACCGGCCGTCTTCACATGCTTGGAAATCTCGCTTGCGTTCTGATTTTTTCTCCTATGCGCCGGTGGATCCGCTCAAATAAGACACTTTAAAAAGGGAAATCAAATTTTGTTATGTTTCAGGTGTGAAACGGCCTGAAATAAAAGTTCTTTACGTTGCTTGGTTCACGAGATCAGTAGTCTCTACTGTGTAGATTTATACTTCCACATGGTTCATGGAACATCATTTTTTTTTTTTGTTACTTTCGTTTGATAGGAATTGTAGAAAAAATTAAGTAAAACGAAGAAAAATTAATAATGAAACAGCGCAAATCTAAGCGCAACGGCAACGCTGGACACAGTAGTTGCAAAATAGAAAATAAGAACAAAAATGTTTACGTCGCGGCATTTGGACGAAAATATTTGAATTTATAGAAAACAGAATAAATTCGACCGTCGGGCAAGAAACATTAATTTTTATTAATTTGAATCGGCACACATACAACAAAATTTTGTATGCATACAAAGTCCATTAAATTCTCCAATAAAAGAATTGGGTTTAGTCCTTTTTCAAATCAACACCTGGCAACACTGGTTATTAGTAGTCGACAAACTTCAAATGTAAACGAAACTCAGCTGTCGAGGTTATTTCCGTTCCGGCGGAAACATGGAGACTTGACGAAACTCCGAGTGGGAGCTAGTATTCTACATATAAATGATTGGAGATCTTACTATACTATTGTTTTGGCAATAAATAAATGAAAAAATAATAAAATTGTACACTAAACTTGAGCTTTAAATTCAACATGTGTTTTTGTGTGCAAATCTACATATGTCTCATTCAAATATTTCCAGCTAATCGATACACTTCAAATGCACTTGTACTGATTGATAAGAGTCCATCAAATCCAACGAGCAGTCTCATTACTAGTCTTTATGAAAACTGCGGTTGCATACGGTGCGAGATATTCCAGTTTGAAAGCAATATTTATGTGCATATGTATGTATGTAAGTACGTATGTGCCCATACATATATGTACATACATATGTGCATATACACGTGAGTGTATTTCCATTATAATCAAAAGCAATATCAAGTTATCAATTCAGTCATTAGAGGGGCACCACAGCAGTCGGTTATTGGAGAAAGAGAACGCACGAAATGGAACGAAATTTTGTTATTTTCTGTGCAATTGTGATATTTTTATTAGGCAGTTTTAGCTCATTAGTAGTTGGCGAAGAGTATGAGTAAGCGTACTTATGTATATGTATATACATACATTTGTTGTTTAAATATTAACCTTACATTAACTATCCCCGTATCTAGCGCCCTCAACACTTTCGCTAAAATCACTGATCATTACCAAATACATCTGGCGGTTTATTTTGTTATTCATTTATGCCAAAATGTTAGTTAATGCACCTTGATTTATGCTTTATTTTATTTAATCGTAGTGTTGTATATGGATACGAATGCCAGCAGAGCAAGTGTTTAAGAATTGAAATTACGGAGAAAACTATAGAGACAGCCATCAGTCTGCCAGTATGTCGTTTGCTTTGCGGAGATTCACCAGTGGGAACTGTCTGGCCAAAACCAACTGGAATTATGCGCACTGAGAATATTTTACTACATGTAGATATAACAACAATCACATTTCAATTTCCCACCAAACTCACCAAACAACTATCGCTATGGGAGGCAAGCAAAGAGAGATTTTTGCAGCAGTTAAAAAGCCACACAGAAGATGTAATTGTCGCACCAAAGCCTGGTGGGTCCAATTTGACAGTAGTAGTGGAAATAAACTCCGAAATCGATGAGCTACCCCGTCTAACGCTTGATACTGATGAGAGCTACAATCTAACTATATCCCCCCTAAAAGGGGATGGCGCTGCGATCGCTAAAATCTCAGCAAATACATATTTCGGTGGAAGACATGGTTTGGAAACAATTTCACAGTTAATAGTTTATGATGATATTCGTCGAGAATATCAACTATTGGCTAAAGTGGAAATAGAAGATGCACCTAGATATAAATGGAGAGGAATATTATTGGATACGTCAAGGCACTTCTATTCTGTGAAGTCTATTAAACGTACTTTGGGTAAGTGTCACAACAAACATTTAGTTTAAAGAACGATTCGAATTCTAATGTTTTTCTCTCTAAGTTAGAAGGTTAAAAGACGATTACAGATTAGAATCAAGAATTATAGCATATGCTCTGATCCAACACTTTTCGTTTAAAATCCTGTAAAAATGTCAAACCGCAAAATGACTCTCTGAAGTGAGAGTAAAAAGTGAGTAACAACATAAAGTACGGGAACAAAAATAGCATTTTTCCTGTAAAAACATCAACCAGTGATCGCTTGATACTTTTCATGATTTTACCAAAAGAAGAAGTTCGGGTAAAATCTTGCAACTTCATTATCTACACAACTCTCCAAAAATCGCTCTCAACCTGTTAGTTCATGGAGTACTGGATCAGAGCTGTTATATAAGCGTATTCTAACGTTGGATTCTAATTGGTTTCTTTTGTCTAGTGTACTTTTTAATCAATCTATAATCGACTTCTATTCGATTCGAAAAACATTGGAGAACTACATTAGAAATCGAATGTAAAATCAAATGTTTCTCAAACGTTAGAGACTGTAGTTGCGTTTTCTACGCACTATCCAGTAAAAACTACATACTAATCATTTTACTGGAATTTTAGTTGGCTAGCGTTTTCACACCCCAAAAGTTGCAAATTATTGGAAATTGGGAGGGTCATGTAAAAATTATCCAGTTACTTGCCAGTAACAAAATTTTCAAGAATCCCTCTCAATGAGAGTACTAATACGAATGGATAGTCCTGAAATATACTAGCCAGAAACGCCATTGCCTTATAAAACAGAGAACAATTTTGAAATATGAATATTTTTACTCTACAAAATAATTATGCAACCCCACATACGCGATTTTGCATTATGTTGATGAGCGGTTTTGTACTTTAAACGACGATATATGAGTAGTAAGAACATTTTTATAAAAAAATTATTTCTGAAAATAATATAATAATCAGCTGAACATTGAACTTGCAAATTTTACTGGTTTTGCGTTTTCGTACATCCTTCAATTGTGTTTTTTATCTCACTGAGAGGAAATGTGGTCTTGTTCTCACAAATTTGTTACTGGCAAATATCAAGATTTTTATTTTTGGTCATTGTAAAATCGTTATTTTTTTCAATCAAAAATATCGTTGAATTTGATCTTAATTTTTTCGATAAAAAATAATCGTTATTTTGTATATATATATATTTATAATCGTAAAATAACGGTCAAATTTGATCGAAAAATATAAATCCAAGTTTTGCGATCAAATTATTTTTATACTAAAAACCATAACCGTTACGGTCTCTGCTATATTTAAGATACCTTAATATTGCAGGGAAACTAAACACATATTACCAAAAAATTATCGACATCATCCTGGACATCGATTACAATTTTTTTATGATTTTTTCAGATGCCCTTGCGATGGTTAAACTCAACACCTTTCATTGGCACATTACAGATTCTCAAAGCTTCCCACTAGAGATCAAATCCCATCCAGAACTTCACAGATTTGGCGCATATTCGCCTAGTAAGGTTTATACACATGATACAATTTCTGAAATTGTGCAGTATGGACTGATTCGTGGCATCCGAGTAGTGCCTGAATTTGATGCTCCCGCCCACGTGAAGGAAGGTTGGCAACATAAGGGTATGATCGCTTGTGAGAGCTTTCAGCCCTGGAAGAGTTATTGTGGAGAACCACCATGTGGGCAACTAGACCCCACTGTAGATGACATTTATCCGATATTAGAAGATATCTATCGTGAAATATTTCAACTATTTTCACCAGATGTCTTTCATATGGGAGGTGATGAGGTGCTATCTAAATGTTGGCATGGCACTGAGAGTATTCGCGAATGGATGCAATTAAAAGGTTGGGATTTGCAAGAGGAAGATTTTCACCGGCTCTGGGGTTATTTCCAAACAAACGCACTCGAAAGAGTAGATAAAGTGTCCAACAACAGCAATCAATTAATCACACTGTGGACAAGTAGTCTTACACAAGAGCCATATATTGATCAATATCTTAACAATTCCAGATATATCATACAAATTTGGACACGTGGTTCAAGCTCCGAAATTAAAGCGATCTTAAAACGTGGCTTTCGCGTTATTATTTCAAACTATGATGCTTTATATTTTGATTGTGGTGGACCCAGCTGGGTAGACATTGGCAATAACTGGTGCTCACCGTATATTGGCTGGCAGAAAGTGTACGATAATAATTTGGATAACATAGCTGGGGAATATAAATCGCTGGTTTTAGGAGCCGAAGCGGCAATTTGGTCCGAGCAAATCGATGAATACACACTGGACTACCGATTATGGCCACGTTCAAGCGCATTAGCAGAACGTTTGTGGTCGAATCCCGTTGGAAATTGGCGTGAAGCAGAATCTCGAATATTATATCATCGCGAACGATTAGTAGCCAATGGTATATACGCGGAGGCTCTTCAACCAGAATGGTGTCTGCAAAATGATGGTGAATGCCCAGTGAAAAGAGGTTGATATACATACATACATACATATGTACCTATACAGGTTGATGAATAGAACCGCAATTGATTTAGAGTACGAATAAATTTATTTATATATTTTTAAATAAACCAAATTTTAACCAAAAGTTAATATTTACTGTACATTAGGGTGCGCCTAATCGATCAGCCTCAGTCCGTTATCGGACGTTTCGTCGTGGAGGCTGAATGTTCCGACAGTGGCGCCAAAGATCCCTTCTTGCACACCTTGGCATTGAAGTCCCCAAGCACGATTTTGACATCGTGTCGGGGCAGCGCTCCAAGTGTTCATGGAGATCCTTGGACGCCTCGTCCTTCTCTTCCGTAGGGGCATGGGCGCAGATAAGTGAGATGTTGAAGAATCTCGCTTTGCTGCGGATTGTGGCTAGACGTTCGTTCACCGGGGTGAACGCCAGTATTCGGCGACGGCGTCTCTCTCCTACCACGAATCCAACTCCGAATTTGCGCTTCTTTACGTGGCAACTGTAGAAGACCTTGCCTTGCCTTTCTCCATCCATCGCATTTCTTGGATGGCGGTGATTTCCGCCTTGGTCTTCCCGAGGACATCAACCAGCCAGGCAGAGGCACCTTCCCCATTAAGGGTCCGGATTGTCCAGGTGCATACTCTTAAATCTTAGTCCTTTATACGTTTTCCGTGGTCGCCATCAAAAAAAGGTGGTTGTTGTTGTTGTAACAGCATACAAATTCCCCAAAGAGATTTTGGGGAGTGTTGCTGGAGTGACAGTCCTTGGCCAGATATACATCTGGGTCGTTCCGGTTACGTAGACCCGACTGTCGTGGGAACGAAAAAAAAAAAATAAAATCTAAGAATATAAACGTACATAAAAAAGGTGGTCTTATCCGCGGCTTTCTGAACTTTTTCATTGGGCGGAGCTTTAACGTGGCCGGACCCAAACCCATCGCACGCGAAGTTTTACGCCTTCTCACTTTAGCTCGCTCTCAAACGGGTGTTTGGTTGCTACCCAGAGGATATGTGGATATAAATATCCGGACGTTGTGAGCTGCGAACGGAACCATCCTATAGGCGGACTTGCCTATTTAATAGGCGGCACACACGGTGCATCTGACTCGCGAGTCATTTGTGTACGTGGTGACTCGCCCTCGACTACACACAGTTGAATCATTCAGAGTCATGCCGGGTGTCATGTTGGTGTAACTAACACATATATATTTTCACAAACACATCCAAACCGACTCACGTGTCAGACGCAAGGAGTATGCCGCCCATTAAAATTCACTATTGCTGAAAAATTTGCTCTCATCACGATTCTTTGATCAAAAAATCCTCCACACCGAGAGTAGAAAAGCACGTTCGACTGCGTAAATTGGATCATGGTGTTCAGCGCTTTTCAAACTGTTCGATAAGCTGAGTTGAGTGCTGAGAGCCTGAAAAGCGCTCAATATCTAAACAACTTGGTGTGGAGGCCTACCCGAAGAAAATTGATAATACCCATGAACCAATTAGATTAGAGTAGTTGGATCATGGGTAATAGCAAAGTTATGAGCAATAATAAATAAACATTGTGTGCTGGTCGAATTCCAATTTTCTTAAATATTTATCTAAAAAGTTTTGTCGTGAAATAATTTCCTCTAGATAAATTGCTTCGTAATGTTACACTTTCTATCCAATCGATCACCATCAATAATTACGCACCTGTCAAAATCGACAGTGGACGCTTCCATGCAACCCTGATTATCACCGGCCGCCATCATAATTGCTTCATTTGCTTTGTGATTGAGATTTTCAGTTCGTTTTCCGTGGTAAAGCAAAATGTCAGATAGCCGATTTTTTTAAGTTTCAAGTGGCAGACGGTGTTTTGTTCATCTGTTCAGCTTTTAGTTTTTGTTTAATTTATTAAAAAACTAAAAATGTGCATTAGAAGATTATTAGAGAAGTGCTTTTGCTAATCTTTTTGTCTGTGTTTTCTCGCCTAATCGAAAATGCAAAAAATTTTTCCGGAATTTTAGTTTGTGCAACCTATTTATGTATGTATGTGCCGCCGACATAAATGTCCAACAGAAGTGAATCGCATAAACTTTGATAAATTTACGTGAATTAGTGAAAAATCCTTGGAGCAAAACATTCAATAGCAGTCTGATGATGAAAATTACTGGAAGTAATTTTGCCATGTGAATACGACTTTTTGTTCATTGACTTTTGATGCAAGAAGTGAATCCTTTGGATACCTCCCGTGCATGTGAAAAAAGCTTTCTTCATCATCTTAAGCCTGTATTTTTGCAATCTTTGCCCTTTGCTGCTGCTCGCACTGACTAAAATAAATCTTGCGGGCTATTGTACGCAGTATGTACATACAAATTAGTGCACATTACGGGGGGAACGTAAAATTTCGTATATTTGTCACTGCCTCCGAAAAGGAAGTACATATATTAACTTAAAGGAATAATCTAATTAATACTCCGCTCAAATATCTCATCCTTCATGATTTTTTAAACAAAATCTATAATTGCACCGAGGTAAGTTAAAAGTGATTTCAATTTTACATTTGTATGTATACATATAAATCATTCTTATCTTCTTATGTTGTTCCTAGATTATAAACTCTCGCAGAAAAATAAGGTTACACATTAACTGATAAGGAATTCACAAAAATGTTGCATTACATACGATTATGTCTTTAAAGTACAAACATACATATAAAAAAATATATGAATATAATATATATTACTAAATATATGTGTATGTATATCTATGTACTTATCGCTAGCTTAAGTAGCTGTTAGACGTGGCAAGTGCAAGTCCTTTTTAAAAGTCGGTCAAACTCAAGATGTTCCAAAAGTGATTACAGGAGCAGCTACACCTTGCATTTAAAGTGACTTTCGAAAGCAGCTTTTATTTCCGAAAATCACACTTTCCGGAACAACTTTTGTCAGTGTATGCAGAAAATTCCACTTTCACCTGTGTTACCAGACATTTTTATGCTCATAACAATAGTACTGGCCTGCAAATTTTTTTTAAAAATGATGTAACATTTTTAAAATCTTATACAAATTCGGCAAAAATCTCGTCACACGGCAGCACTCGGTTGGTTCGACAGCACTTGCAGCAAAAACGAAAATTGCTAGTGCAACACGAGCAAGTTGAAATTATTTCTCGAAAGGATTTGCGTAATTTCATTTGCAGTTACACAAAAGTGATTTCTGCAAATCTGCTAAAAGCACTTTATGGCTGTTTACACGGGAAGCGCCTGCATTGCCACGTTTAACCGTACCTTTAGAGTAAAAAGTTGCTAAGTCCCATTTTATAAATTAAAAATTATACATACAGGAGAGGAAAAAACTTCTTACAGCCATTTTATTAAAATATTTCGCAAAACTTTGAATACAACATTTTGCGTGTTTAAATCAAAACTTCATAAGAATCAGACGAATTCCAAACCGCAAAAAATGCAATGGGGAACCCATAAAAAATCGTCGTTAGTATTAAAAAATTTTAAAATAAAATATTGGGTATTATTATTGGAAGTCTCCTGAATAGGAACAGAGTTTTCCGATTGAAAATTTTGCTTTTTCCACACATAAAATAATTAACAGGATTCACAAGACGTATTAACCGTCGTAAAAGCTTAATTTTTTGTATGTAAAATAACAGTTAAAATGGTTTTTTGGGGGGGGGGGGCTAATTATATATATTTTTTATAAGTTTAAAAACATTTCGGTGTAGTTTGAAATCCTCTAAAACCATTAAAGTCATTATTTTACATAAAAAATGTTGAGCTTAAGATTTACGATGGTTACCACGTCTTGTGAATACCCTAAATATCTTTCTTTTCTTAACGAAAAAATAGGGGTATTCTTTATTTCCATTTAGAAAAATCCTATGGGGTGAAAGGTTAACATTTTAAACTTTTTTGTTGGACCAGCCTAATGCACTTTCGTGAACATTATATTTTGCTGGTTGGGTGATCTAAATTCTTTTTGTCACAACTGCTAATAAATAATAAATCATTTTATACTTATGCCCTTGTTCAATTCTACGTACATATGTATGTATGTATGTAAATGGAATATCATAAATGCATGCATTTGCAACATTCATATGCATGCACTTGTAAATATACATACATACATACATAGAAAAGCGCAAGCATAGACCGCAATGGGGTTACTTTGTGTTGACTAAGTAAAACCCCACAACTGCTATAAAAACAAGGCGAAGCCGTAATTAATGCAACGTTGCAAATTGTGTATGACACTAGGTGGCAAGCCACATCGATCCAAATGGTAACTGTTTATGTACATTTCAACCATTTGTAAAGCGCCTAGTAAAGTTTTCCAACAGTCCTTTATGGGGGTTGAAACTTAAAAGCTTGAAGTAAGAAAGACCAAGACTATATAATTTTTTTTCTTTCAAATACGATTATTTGCATACACACTGCACTTTTGATGCAAATGCGGGTGCCTAAACCTAAACCTAATTTATTTAGGCAAATATTTATAAACACTCATTGCAAGTTTTGCTACTATTTGAGCATAGACATACAATATGTACGTTAGGGCGGGTTGATTTTTTTTTTAATCGTATAGCAAAAACGTAAACTACATAACATTCTAAGAAAATTCTCCGACGAAACTATGTGTCTAAAATAAAATCCTAATCCGCGCCTCTCGACTTGAAAATTTATATGGCCGCCTTTGCCAAAAAAATAAATGTTAGAACAAATAGGTTTTCCCAAAAGAAATCGAATTTTCTGAATAAAATTTTTTAGTAAGGTAGTTCTTTTGCACTTAATATTTTTTCTACACTCAAAATTTGTTTCATTAAAAAACTAACTTCTAACTATTTGTTATACAGAACGCAAATCAGAGGATATGCAAATTGGGGGTCAACCGCTTTTTTGATAATTGAATATTTTAATTAGTCTCAAAACAAAACCTGTACTTATTGCATAAACTATAATATAATATAATAAAACATAATATATTTCAAAAAAAGAAAATAATTTTAGCGAGAGAAGAGGAAAAAAAATTTCAAGTCGAGAGGCGCGGATTAGGGTTTGATTTTAGACCCATGGTTTCTTCAGAGAATTTTCTTAGAATTTAATGTAGATTAT